CAGTCGGAAAGAGTCGCTGATGTAAGTGCTGCAGGGTCTCAGCTTTTCTTCTTTCCCACTACTACAAATATAGATAAAGATCACACTTTTTTAGTGTGATATATGTTTTTTAATCACACCTTTTAAGTTTTATTAAAGTGTGGTCTTTAGGAGTGTGATTAAAAATGGTCATTTTTAATCACACTTTTTAAGTGTCATTAAAAAATGCTTTCATCACACATTTTAAGTGTGATTAATAATATTTAGATCACACCTTTTAAGTGTGGTTAAAAACATTTAGATCACACCTTTTAAGTGTGATTAAAAATATTTAGATCACACCTTTTAAGTGTGATTAAAAATATTTAGATCACACCTTTTAAGTGTGATTAAAAATATTTAGATCACACCTTTTAAGTGTGATTAAAAATATTTAGATCACACCTTTTAAGTGTGATTAAAAATATTTAGATCACACCTTTTAAGTGTGATTAAAAATATTTAGATCACACCTTTTAAGTGTGATTAAAAATATTTAGATCACACCTTTTAAGTGTGATTAAAAATATTTAGATCACACCTTTTAAGTGTGATTAAAAATATTTAGATCACACCTTTTAAGTGTGATTAAAAATATTTAGATCACACCTTTTAAGTGTGATTAAAAATATTTAGATCACACCTTTTAAGTGTGATTAAAAATATTTAGATCACACCTTTTAAGTGTGATTAAAAATATTTAGATCACACCTTTTAAGTGTGATTAAAAATATTTAGATCACACCTTTTAAGTGTGATTAAAAATATTTAGATCACACCTTTTAAGTGTGATTAAAAATATTTAGATCACACCTTTTAAGTGTGATTAAAAATATTTAGATCACACCTTTTAAGTGTGATTAAAAATATTTAGATCACACCTTTTAAGTGTGATTAAAAATATTTAGATCACACCTTTTAAGTGTGATTAAAAATATTTAGATCACACCTTTTAAGTGTGATTAAAAATATTTAGATCACACCTTTTAAGTGTGATTAAAAATATTTAGATCACACCTTTTAAGTGTGATTAAAAATATTTAGATCACACCTTTTAAGTGTGATTAAAAATATTTAGATCACACCTTTTAAGTGTGATTAAAAATATTTAGATCACACCTTTTAAGTGTGATTAAAAATATTTAGATCACACCTTTTAAGTGTGATTAAAAATATTTAGATCACACCTTTTAAGTGTGATTAAAAATATTTAGATCACACCTTTTAAGTGTGATTAAAAATATTTAGATCACACCTTTTAAGTGTGATTAAAAATATTTAGATCACACCTTTTAAGTGTGATTAAAAATATTTAGATCACACCTTTTAAGTGTGATTAAAAATATTTAGATCACACCTTTTAAGTGTGATTAAAAATATTTAGATCACACCTTTTAAGTGTGATTAAAAATATTTAGATCACACCTTTTAAGTGTGATTAAAAATATTTAGATCACACCTTTTAAGTGTGATTAAAAATATTTAGATCACACCTTTTAAGTGTGATTAAAAATATTTAGATCACACCTTTTAAGTGTGATTAAAAATATTTAGATCACACCTTTTAAGTGTGATTAAAAATATTTAGATCACACCTTTTAAGTGTGATTAAAAATATTTAGATCACACCTTTTAAGTGTGATTAAAAATATTTAGATCACACCTTTTAAGTGTGATTAAAAATATTTAGATCACACCTTTTAAGTGTGATTAAAAATATTTAGATCACACCTTTTAAGTGTGATTAAAAATATTTAGATCACACCTTTTAAGTGTGATTAAAAATATTTAGATCACACCTTTTAAGTGTGATTAAAAATATTTAGATCACACCTTTTAAGTGTGATTAAAAATATTTAGATCACACCTTTTAAGTGTGATTAAAAATATTTAGATCACACCTTTTAAGTGTGATTAAAAATATTTAGATCACACCTTTTAAGTGTGATTAAAAATATTTAGATCACACCTTTTAAGTGTGATTAAAAATATTTAGATCACACCTTTTAAGTGTGATTAAAAATATTTAGATCACACCTTTTAAGTGTGATTAAAAATATTTAGATCACACCTTTTAAGTGTGATTAAAAATATTTAGATCACACCTTTACAAAAAAAAAATTAAAAAAACTAAAAAAACAAAAATGTCAACTTAAAAAAAAAAAACAAATCATACAACTTAGCAGTTCAAGTTATTTATAAAATTAATCATTCTGCTTGTTTCTAGTTTTCAAAATTCATTTTTTTTTTTAATTCTACTTTTTGTTTTTCATATTTTTTGTTTTCATTGAATTTTTTTAATATTTTAAGTAATTTTTTTAATTTTTAAACACACTTACTATAAATATACTTATAAAGTATAATATTTGTGAATTTTTTTTAAAAAGAATCACTAAATACCAAAAATATAAAAACATATATAAAAATTTAGTACATTTATTAATTTTTAAAAATATTTTTTCATAAATAATTTACTATATAAATACATCTAAGTAAGGTACATCTAAAAAAGTAAACAAAAATTACTTAAAATTTAAAAAATATTCACTAAAAACAAAAAAACACGAAATTTTTTTTAAAAAAAATTTAATTTTTCAAAAACTAAATTCATAAAACTGAAACCACACACACTGAATATTTTTTCAAACACATTAATTTTTTTCACTACATAAAAATAAAAAATCACAATAAAAAAAAGATAAATTATACTTTGCACCCCTGCACTTTGTGCCAAAGTAGGATTCGACCTACTTTGTACCAAATTATGTGTAAGGAAATCTTACTTTAATCCTTACACATAAAATCATGACAATTAACCCTCTGCATTTTTGGTCAAATCCTACTTTTGGCATAAATTTACATTCATTTTTTTTTAAACAAAAAATTGCGAAGCATAAAATGTGTACAATTGTTTAGACTTAGACTTAGACTTAAATAGTCCCTTTTTCTGCTATTTCATTTTTAAAGCTTTAACAAAATCCAGTCATATGACAAAAATGTGGCTACGAAATAAGGATAAAAGAGAAAAATCATCCATATTTTCTGCCAATACACTTTGTCCTACGTGATAAACACATGAGAGTTATATAATACTATATATATATATATATATATATTCATATGGTAAAAATTGAGATGAAAATGTAAGAAAATAGAACTTTTGAAATAAAATAAAAAATGTGGCAAAGAAATCAAAGAGAAAAAAAATATGAATAGACAGAAGACTGTATTACCGTAAAAAACAAATTTTTGTGATTTTAATTTATGTAAAACCCTAGCTCATCTTCTTAATTGTTCACAATTTGTGTTTGTTTTAATTTAATACAGTCATATTTGATATAAATTTTAGAATAAAATGTGTATTAGTGGAAAATATAGATAATTTTCCTTTATTACCCTCATGTTGTAGTCACATTCTTATCATATGAGTAACAAAAATGAAACACTGACACTTGTGTAGGGACTAACGTGAGATTTGACAAAAAATACAAAGAGTTGATTGTCACAATTTCATATGGAGGAATCAAAGTGGGATTTGACTAGAAGTATAAGGGACTGATTGTCATAATTTCATGTATAAAGATTAAAGTGAGAGTTGATGCAAATGTAGGAGTACAAAGTGTAATTTACTCAAAAAAAAACAAAAAAGAAAAGGAAAAAAAAAAAAGCCAACTGTCAAATGAGTTGTTCCATAATTTTTCAATTTGTCATTGGAGAAATGGAATGAGAAAAGAGGATTCTGTGTTCAAAATTGACATGGTAACAAGTCATGGGCTACTCACGTGTATAGGCTCCAGATTTATCTTTCTAACACCTGGCTATATATGATTGGCCCAAAATTGTTAACACGAGGTAGCGTTAGTAGGCTATCATTTCTCACCTCTCCCTCTCTTTTTTTTTTCTTTTTTTTTGATTCATAGAAAGTTCATAACAAACAGAAAGAAACAGAGGCTACAAAACACAAAAGAGACTAGAAAGAAAGAAACAGAGGCTATCATTTCTCATTTCTCACTTCTGATCCAAAAAAAAAATTTCCCATTTCCGTTAGTAGGCTATCATTTCTCACCTCTCCCTCTTTTTTTTTTTTTCTTTTTTTTTGATTCATAGAAAGTTCATAACAAACAGAAAGAAACAGAGGCTACAAAACACAAAAGAGACTAGAAAGAACGAAGAAGAGGCTATCATTTCTCATTTCTCACTTCTGATCCAAAAAAAAAATTTCCCATTTCTCACCACTCCCTCTTCAATCAAGACAAAAAAGAACGAACAGGTGAGGTGAAGTGGCTACCTAACTCATCCAATTCTTATATAAATTGACAGTTTCGTAAATATGAGTGGATACGATTTAAAATATGATATGTTTATCGGTTGCGGATTTAATCCACATTCACAAGAATGCACCCGCATGTTGTCCATCTTTTTTTATTTTTTGTTATTATTATTATATCTTAACCATTAATTTCATTCTTATATTTTACCTAGATATTTTTCTCAAAACAAAATACTCTTTATTCTTTGAATTTATTTTAGCATTACATTTGTTAATAGTATTATATTAACTGAAATTAAATAAATACTGATCATATTATTATTGTTACATAACTGAATTTGCCCTGGATTTAGTGTAATTTGAAATTTTAAATTCCTTAATAATATGGAGTTCTAATTTAATATTTTGAAATGTATGCTTGTGTTAGTTTATGATTTGATTTAAGATTTTGAATTATTTATTTGTATTACGAATTGATTTTATTGTGTTTTTAATTTTATAAATTTTAATTCATTAATCATTAATATTAGAGCATTTTAGAAAATGCGAAGAAAAGGGACCCAAAATAAATATTTACAAAATGAGAAAAAAATAAAGCTCAAAAATAACTTTTTTTAAAAAAAATTCAATCCACAAATTTTATCCCTACAAATGACATTGCGGTCGGTTGCGAGTTATTTTTTTTTTTCAAACTGCATAAATGCGAGAGAGTCCAAATCCATTCACAAACCGTCCAAATCCGAACTGTCAACACGTGGTGAATAACGAACAGCTTTCAGATCGAGAAATTTCCAAAAACTCTCAACTCTCTCTTTCTCTCTCGATACCTAAAATTCTTCCCAATTGAAGATACGAAAATGTGGAAATTCAAAGCCCTAATTGTGATAACCCTAGGGTTAATAATGACACCCATCGTTGAGTCCATGCGATTCGACCTTCAATCGGGTACCACCAAATGCATTACAGAGGACATCAAGAACAATGCAATGACTGTGGGTAAGTACAGCGTTGTTAATCCCAATGAAGGCCATCCAATGCCTGACAATCACAAGATCACCGTCAGGGTAAGTGAGTCCGCTTCGCTGAAATTCTTCATTTTCAAAATGGGTTATCTGAATTTTGGATTTCAAATGAAGGGATTTGAAGTTGAAACTTTATAGAAAATGGTATGAGAGTTGGCTATTATTAGATGGGATCAGAAACTAATGAGGAAGACAATAATGTAGATTAAAGGAAAGTGATTTTACTATGATTTTTTTGTATTGTCTATCATAGCCCATCATGGTAAATCTCTCAAATTTTATGTTCAAGTCCGTATCTAAACTATCATTTCTAAATTTGAGCTATTCTCATTGAACAATTAGTACCCAAATTCTTGCATTTCAAATCCACAAAGCCAAATGCCACTCTATACTATAGCATCTGTGATTCTGGGGATTTTGTGAATTACCAATGTGTAATTATTCTTTGTTATATGCGAATGGACCAATGTGCCAAAAATGGGTTTAGTAGAATAGATAATCTTAATCACAACAAAATTTCTTTCCATTGTGATGCTTATGATCTTTAAGGATTATTTTCCTTGAATCACATAAGGCTCTTGTGCTTCATTTGCTGCAGAGGGATCATCCTTGTTTGGGAATTATAGATTTTAGCCAAAAAGCTATACTATAAGTTGTCACATCACTTTATTTTTTTTTCTGCATATCTCTTCGTAAAAAGCTAAAAAATCAACTAAAATAGTTAATTCTCAAATGTTAATATAAAAAACCCACTTGAACTCTACCATCCATGTTTTATTTCTTTTCCTTTTCTTTTCTTCTTCTTTATCTGTTTTTGGGAAAATCCATTTGGTAGTGGTGGCTTATTAAAGTACAAAACTTGAATTGTAAGGCACTGTGAATTGTACCCTAACCTACAAGGTTCCACTAATTTATGGTTATGGACTTGTTTGCCCGTGGGTTGTCACAATGAAGCATTCGAATTGTAAAATCTTTGTTGCTGTTGTTGTTATTTCCTTTATAAGTGAAAGACTTTAGCTGTTCATTATCATAGTCGAACTTTAGAAATTTTTAAGTATAAAGAGATTGAATTTGATATAATTTGTGTGAAAATAGGTTACATCACCCCATGGGAACAATTATCATTATGGTGATCATGTGGAGTCTGGTACCTTTGCGTTTACCGCACCCGAGGCTGGTGATTATATGGCGTGTTTTTGGGCAGCTGATCACAAGCCGGTGATGATATTGTCTATTGAATTTGATTGGAAGTCTGGTGTTGCTGCTAGGGATTGGTCAAAGGTTGCTAAGAAAGGACAGATTGAAGTAAGCAAGTTGTCTCATTTCTTTGTTCTCATTTCAGCTTGTTTGGCAAATTAGACATTTATGAGATCTTGACTTACATCTATACAATGTCTCTCTTGGCTGGTACGAGATAATCTTCATTCTTCATCTATACGAAATCTCTTATGGCATTCCACCCAGTGTTTCATTTTTGTACTTTTGGATAGGGGTGCAACTCGGGCGGGTTCGGTCAGGTTGGGGGTCTGCTCAAGCCCGACCCGAATTGTATTTGGCAGTGCCCAAGCCCGACCATGAATCCGAGCATTGCTGTCCAAGCCCGGCCCAAGCTTTGTATTTTGAGCTCGGGTTAGCCCGAATTGCCCGAATTACCCGAATTGTCCGAGTCCAGAAACCGAATTACAATTCGGGCATCAAAAATCTGCCCAGGCCCGTCCAGATTACAAGATGTAGTTGCCCAAGCCCTAAAAAAACTCGGGCTGGGCTCGGGTTGCTCGGGTTGAGTCCGCCCGAGTTGCACCCCTACTTTTGGATGGGGAATATGATTTGAAATTCTTTGTGCATGTAAGATAAATTGATATAGAGAGAAATTGTATGTATTATAATTGATTGATATATTACAAGATTGTTGTATATATTGATATGTATGTTACAAGCTATTATATAGGAGAGGTGTGAGGTAAGTGAGTGGTGGTAGTGGATGGTAGTGGAGGTGGTGGGTGGTAGTGGAGATGGTAAGTGTGTTAGGTTTAGTGGGGTGGATGTAGTGGGTTAGGTTAGTGGGTTAGGTTTAGTGTACATTAACAGTGCAAATTGTTTCGGATGAAACTGGAGATAGTTCTGATAAGCAGCATTGTTTTATGTGTTGATGCACATTTTTTGTGTTGTTTTTTGGAAATCTTAGTAGCCGTGTGGCTGTGAGCAGTACTTTTTGGGTAGCTTAGAGGATTCTAGTGATACATGGTAGTGTCTAAACAATCTCAGTAAGAAATCACAAGTTCAGAAGTTTTGTTCTGCCTGAATGAATTGAAAGTGATCCAACTTCACCAGAAAATTTCTCATTTATTTTGATATTGGGTCGTGATTTTCTTGTGTTAGGTCTTATGTCTTCTTATATTAGGGGAAAGATGTAGATTGACAGTTGAAAGCATTCATTCTAACTAAAAATTCTCCTCATTTAACACATGGTTTATTGTTCCATTTTGATTAGGAAACTAACTTATATGGTTTGTCTTTGTATATTTTCCCTCTTAGGTGATGGAACTCGAGTTGAAGAGATTGTACGAAACTGTCACGTCCATTCACGATGAGATGTTTTATCTTCGTGAAAGGTAAGAACGAAACAACTTCATAATTTTCTTATATTAAAATCAGTAATATATATATATGATTTTTGTTTGGGCAATTGTAGGGAGGAGGAAATGCAACAGCTAAATAGAGCAACTACTTCGAAGATGGCCACCTTTAGTTTCCTTTCCCTTCTGGTTTGCTTGTCGGTGGCTGGTCTGCAACTATGGCATTTGAAGACATTCTTTGAGAGGAAGAAGCTCCTCTAAGTTTTTCTCTAGAGGTTTACATTTCCCACGTTTGGCTTTCACTTTCGGCATTTGGTTACTTTCTTTGAGAGAATGAGCTGGTCTTGCTTTTTTGCCTTCTGAGAGTTCTACAAATCCGTTCTGGCTTTATTGTGATTGCATTTAACTACTCTTTTTTTTCCCTTTCAAAGATCATAAAATAGAGACTCCTGTGTATCACTTGGTTTCCAGTCAATACTGGAAGCAAACTAGATGCTGAAAATGGTTTTTGAAAATTTATGCTTGTCCCATGTCCGGATGATGAGGTTTTGGAAAATTTTCTCCCACCCCACAAACCCAATATTTGTTTTTGGTAAGAGCTATTGGAATCCAGATAATCCATTCGTTCCTATGGTGATGATTGATCCCATAAGGATTATCATTTGGTCAAAAGCTTGCAGCCGGGCCTAGGCCTGTCTGGCCCATCGAGCCTCTACCTGGCCTAAAGCCTCTACCCTGGGTTAGCTGGTCCACCCCAAATTAGGCTTTGGTTGGGCTTGGGTTTGTGTGTTGAAGATCGGACTTACCAGTCGTCTTGGCCCATTGTCCAGTTAGAGGTAATCAGAAACCGTGGCAGAGAATATGAAGAAATAAAGGGGGGGAAATCGGAAAAAAGAGCTCGTTAGAATCTCGGTTGTTAGAGCATTTGCATCAAAATAGTTAAATTTTGGGTTAATTACACTAATAGTTCTTGTCGTTTGAGACTTGTGTCACTTTAGTCTCTGACTTTTCAATTGTGTCACATTTGATCTTAAATTTTGAATCTTGTTTCAAATAAGGACAATTGAAAATATTATTGGATTTTTTAAGGGTAAAATCGTCAATTTGATAAAATATAAATTAATTTGACAAAAATAAATGTCAAAAAAATATTTTTAATTTTTTAAAAATTATTTTTATCCAACAATGATAAAATTTTGTAAAATTAATAAAAATTACACGATTAATTTTTTAAAATTAATTTTACATGATCATCATCCAAACACATAATAAAAATTAATTTGGTAAAAAAAATAAATAAATGTTTAAAAGATTTATCAATTTTATATAATTTTATTTTTAGTGGGTGGAAATAATTTTTAAAAAATCAAAAATATTTGTTTGACATTTATTTTTGTCAAATTAGTTTATTTTTTTTATCAAATTGACAATTTTACCCTTGAAAAATCTAATGATATCTTGTCTTTATTTGGAACAAGATTTAAAATTTAGGGTCAAATGTGTCACAATTGAAAAGTCAGGGATTAAAGTGACACAAGCCCCAAAGTTTAGAGACTATTTGTGTAATTTGTCCTTAAATTTTTAGACAAATTATACCTAAAAAGCTAATTTTCTATTTTAGCTAATTACATTTTCAAGTACACTCTTTAACAAACTCTTTAAATTTTTTTAATTATATTTAAATATTATTTATTTATTCTTTTAAAAATCATATTTTTTTCAATTGTCATATATTTTAAGCGGACAATAATCATATTTTTCAAACAAAAAATGCAAAACTACTATAATGTTTATATAGAGTTTGTCTCAAGAATAATGTGGTAGTAACATATAAATAAATAATAAAATTTATTTTACTGAGCCTGTTAGTTTAAAATAAAAATTTATATTGAATCACATCATTTTGTATAAATTTTATATTTTTATATTATTGTTATTCTTTTCAAACCAACACTTTTTAAACCTGTCATATTTTTTTTGAGATTATACTCAAAATGAATAAAGATTGAGATTTCTAATTTTGAAACTCTAAAGAGAGTTCTAGTGATGTGGCAAAGAATGGGGCTTACATATGATGTGAGGTGTGTACTTATGTTTTTGTTTTTGTTTTTTCTCTTATTACATCATTAAAATTCTCTTTAAAGTTTTAAAATTAAAACTCTTTATCATTGTCGACTCAAAATATACTACTGTTGTTCCAATTTCATTGAAACTTTGAGAAAAATTTTATTAATATTTTATCATTTCGTACTAAAAACCGAGTCCACGACCGCTGACTACATGTAACGATGGAGTTAGGCTCAATTAAAGTGACGATTTTGCTGCCGAGCCTGATGGAATGCAATTTATGTGAATTTTCTTGTTAAAGTAGCTAAGCAGCGGGTTTAGCACTTTGGATGTTGATGCTCTGCCTCCGTTTGGGAAGTGGGTTGGCTTTTTGGCTTTTTGGCTTTTTTGGTTATTTTAGCCTGGGCTAAAAAGCTTGGTTTGGGAAGGGCTTTTTGGCTTTTTAGCTTTTTTGACTTTTTTTGTGAGAGAAGAGTGTAATGATTATGGGTTGGATGTGATGTTTTGTTTTTTGTGGCTAAAATAGCCTATTTTGTCTTTTGTGGCTAAAATAGCCAAAAAAGCCCCCAACCCAACTTGCCAAACGGAGGCTTAGTGTGTCTGGGCTAAAGCTCATTGGGAGTACTTCAATCTAAAGGTTTTTGGTCTTGGGCAAACCCAACAAGAAAAGCCCAATAGGGGTGGGCACCATTTTTGCAATGTGATCTATATTTTTAAAGGCCTGCATAATCCCAAATCAATCTAACCTCCCAAAAAAAAAATAAAATAAAATAAATAATAATAATAATAATAATAATAATAATAATATCTCACATGCATAAAAATTTCATGTCTGCAGATGAAAAATAAATAAGGTTATATTTAGATTTTTTTTTTTTTCTTTGAGAGGGTTTTTAGTATATACAACACAAATATATAATCTAATCTAGGGGAGGGGAGATGAGACTCAGAACCTAGACCTTGTGTCTGGTAAAATGGGCCTTTGCCACTTGGGCTACTCTTTTGTCTCCGTCATCTTTAGATTTTGGATATGCCAAAGAATGAGAAAGGAAAAAGAATTACTAATACAAATTTATTGTTTTTAATGATAGCCAAACAAATAAAATAAAATAAAAAATTTAACAGCCATTTACTCAATTGCTTTTCATTTTCCTAATCTAAAAGTCAAAAATAAGTTTCAAAACTTGATTGTAACTTAAGTCATTTGTACTTCTAAATTTTTAAATGAGAGTTTAAAGTCTGAACTTACGGAGAAATATTGAATATCTGAGCGTCCTAATCTAACACACTAACTTGCTAATATTCTATCTAATGTCAAAAAAAATATATATATTTATTGTTATTATTATTTTTAATTTTCACTTCATCTTCTTTTCTAGTTTATTTTTATCTTCAAATTCAAGATTTAAAAATAACATTAAGATTTGACACTTCAGCAATCTCATAAAAGAAAAACTCACCTAAAGAAGTTCAAATGAATAGCACCATAAAACTGATTTTATTTACAATAATGATTTTGTCACATCATTTTTGTTGTGTTTTTTTTAAATATGTTTTTTATAAATTTTGTGTGTAAATAATTTTTTGAGATTTTTGGTGAGACCCCCTTTTTTGGACTTTTTTTTAAGATAAAAGACAACTCAATGAATTCTTCTTCAAAAAGTACCTGAGTAAGAGAAGCCCAGCTCAATAAGGACATTCTATAATTTGTTTTTGTTTTTTTTGACCATATTGCCCTCATATATATATATATATATCATATATTTAAAAAATCTCAGCTCATACATAAAAGGATCTTGAAGATGATCTACAAAGTGAAGATGATCTGCAAAATCCATGAAAACGATCTCAAAGTCTGAAGATCTCACCACCGACGATCTCACCCTTGGTCAACAATACACGATCTGGCCATCCAAGATCAACACTCTCAATTAAATGAGAGATTGCGTTGCAAAGCTGTATAAATCTGTTGTAATTTTTGATTTGTTTTTGTTGATTTGCTGAGTTCAATCAGGTGTGTGCTCTATTTTTGTTTGACATGATGAAAGTAAAATTTTACTCTGGTTTGTGCTCTGTTTTTGTTTGACAGAATGAGAGTAAACTTTTACTCTGGTTTGGGCTCTGTTTTTGTTTGACAGAATGAGAATAAAATTTTACTCTAGTATGTGCTCTGTTTTTGTTTGATAAAATGAGGGTAAAATTTTACTCTGGTGTTATCTGTTATGTTTTCTTAACATGCAAGTAAAATTTTACTTTATTTCAGAGTAAAATTTTACTGTATTTCAGAGTAAAATTTACTCTGAATTGAAAGTAAAATTTTACTGTGTTGTTGAATGTTCGTCTATGCAGTTTCTGATTTATTTTCTAGTAAAATTTACTCTGAATCTTCAGAGTAAAATTTACTCTAAATCTTCAAGTAAAATTTTACTTTATTTCAGAGTAAAATTTTACTATATTTCGGAGTAAAATTTACTCTGAATTAAAAGTAACATTTTACTGTATTGTTGAATGTTTGTCTATGCAGTTTCTGATTTGTTTTTTAGTAAATTTTACTGTATTTCAGAGTAAAATTTACTTTGAGCTTAAAGTAAAATTTTACTGTGTTGTTGAATGTTTGTCTATGCATAAGAGAATAAACTTTATTTTTCATTAACCAGAGTAAAATTTTACTGTTGTGAAAACAGAGTACATACTAAATAAATGAATTATAGTCGAATTTTACTTTAGATTTATGAACAAACAAACAAAAAACTCTAGATTTTTTATTGTAATACATCAATTTATCATTTTTTTGGACATATATGAGGTCATTTTATCTCAAATCTACAACTATTGATCTCAAACATGAGTTCATAGGCATCAAATCTGAGATGGTGATGGATTTCAATGGACGATTTCAAGATTTCGATTTTGTGAGATGGATCGAAAATGGAGATCAAAAGGGTTTAGGGCTTAAAAAGAGAGAAAATAAAGGGAAGAGAGAGGATATCAGTAATGTGGAGATAGAAAGGGAAGAGAAATGGTTCAGCAAGTGTTTTGGATTATATGGAAGGGCATTTCATCCTTTTCATCATATTTTTTTTATTTGAGGGACTTTTGAAACTATTGTTTTATTTGGTGGGCTTCACACAAAAAAGCCCCCATAGAAGGGACTTTTCACCAAAAATCCCATTTTTATTTGAGGGACTTTTGAAACTATTGTTTTATTTGGTGGGCTTCACACAAAAAAGCCCCATAAAAGGGACTTTTCACCAAAAATCCCTAATTTTTTTTCTTCATTTGCAATTGTTCCTTATATTGTATTTGACATCAATGAGTAGGTCAACCAAACATGGGACTTAAAATGAGGGGTGTATCTAACGCCTTTGTTAATGCCCTCATCATCCAAATGAGCAGAAAAATTTTATATTGTGAGGGTGTTTGTTTCAGTTTTTCAGAGTTAACTTATGATTTTTAGTTTTGAAAAAGTTATTTTGGACTGTTTGGTTAAACTTATTTCAAACAGCTTCTGATTCTAACAGCTTATTTTAACTCAAAAAAGCTGATTCTGAGAAGCTGCTCACCCCTTGCTTCTGATTATCAACTTCTGTTGTGGACATGTTAATTTATAGTTATACTTTTAAATTTTTTTATTTTTTATTTTTTTAAAAATAGAAAAAGACTCAAATGGACTGTAGATTATTATTATTATTTTTTTATGAGAAATGTAGACAAACAAAAAATAAAAATTAATTGAAAAAGCTATTTCACAGCTTATTTAACAAATACTACTCAACAACTTAAATCTATAATCCAACAGCTACACCAAACAGATTAACAACTTCTGATTAAAGTCATAATCTATAAGCTGTTTTAACAGTTACACCAAACGGGGTCTTTGTGTTGTTCTTATGTTAAGTTAAGACATTCATTGTTGTATTTCATAACTTTAAAAAATATTTCAAATTGATTTATTCTTATTCTTTTACACAATTATTATTAACATTTTCATATTGCAGGGGGTTAGAGCATCTCCAATGGTGTTTGTCAAAATAACATTGTCATTGTTATAATTTGGCAAGCAATGATGCTTCAATGGTCACATACTATTTTGGCAAATTTCAACAAACTTTCCCTCTAAATTTGTACGTATTGTTTGGATATAAATTTTTTTTAGTGATTTTGTTTTTGTTTATTTTTTTATTTTTTGTAACCTTGTTTCAACTATTTTTTAAAAATATATATATATATTTATATTATACCCGACTAGACAAAATATAAAAAATTGAAAAAAAAAATAAATATAATTCACCCACCATTTAATTTTTTTTTTTTTTAATAAAATTGTCTTCATTTGTAATTTTATTGTCTTCATTTTAATAACTTTGTATATTTCATGATAGCATTGAAAATTATTTAAACTAGACAAATATAAATTTTGTATAAAAATTAAAAAGTTAAAAATATTTGTATAATTCATCACACCATTTATATGCCACTTCAAAATTAAAAATAAAAAATTCATCACGTAATGCTTCAACCGTCACAACCACCCATTTTCGTACCGTTGGATTACATCAACGGTTCACAGTGGTGCCAACCTTCAAACCACTCAGTTTCTTTCTCTCTCAAAAAATAATGCTTCAAAATAATGTTTCAACGTTCAGACCACTTGTCTCTTTCTCTCTCAATCTTTTCATACTCTCATTTCTTGTCTCGATCTAAAACCTTCACAGACCAGAACCTTCTCTCTCTCTCTCTCTTCATCCTTCTCCCTCGTCTCCTCTCCGGATCCACCAGCACCACTAGTAGCAGATGGATGATACGGAAGAAACCGAGATCATTCTCTCTCTCTCTCTCTCTCTCTCTATCACAGGCCCCTCTTCGCATTTCACAAAGAAGATGAAAACAAACATGAGAACCAAGATCGTAGATCATTCTCCCCCATTTCACAGATCACAGATCAAGGAGCCCTATTTGAGCCCCATTCGCAGATCGCAGAAATCGAAACAGAGTTGTCACCAAAAATCGAAACCTCGTCTCAAATCCATCAACCACCAGAAATTTCTGGTATTTATTGTTTAAAATTCTTTTGAAATTTCTTATTTGCATTGCAATTGTTTGATTATTGTTGTTGTTGTTGTTGTTGTTGTTGTTTGTGATTTTTTTTTTTTTTTTTTTTTTAGGGGCCTAATTCATCAAAAGGTGTGCCGGACATGATGGCGAGGCACGTGGGCGCCTTGGCTTGCGCGCCCGTTTGTCGTCTGTCGGTAAGAGGCTCGCGATGCGCGTGGCTGCCTCGGCTATAAGACAGAGGCTGAGGCTGAGGCAAAAAACCTGCGAGAGATATTCTGAGAGAGATTTCTGAGAGAGATTCTGTAACACTCTGTTTTCTGAGAGAGAATTCTGAGAGAGATACTGTGTAACACTCTGGTGCCTAGAAAATGGCTTCATCGTCTTCCCGCGGGCTGCTCACCCTCTTTCCCGACCTCAACGAGTCAACGAGAGAGAGAACTGGTGCGGTGGCACTGGAAACTCAACCAAGCGCCCCGGAGTTTGCTCCGTTGAACTTTCCGATGCGGTCGGTGGAGCAAAGAATGGCAGGGCAGTCGGATGTGGAGGCGAATCAGTATACTTTGAAGGCATCTGTGGAGTCCATGACGGCGGTCACAAACTTGTCGCACCGGCTGCAGAGTAGGACAAATGAGGTGCAGCAATTAAACGCCCAGCTGGCTCTGCTCCAACGCATGTATAAGGATGCGCGAGCAGAGATAAGCGTGCTAAGGGCAGAAAACAAGGAGCTGAAGCGGAAGGCCACCGTGATGTTTCGATTTGGAGGTCCACCATATGCTGCAGTGGAGGAGCAGGGAGTAGTGATCATGCCCAGTGGAGTGGGAAACACGGAGGCAACACCGTCAAGGGCCGCGCAGGACGGAGGCAAGAAGAAGAGACCGGCAGCAGAGTAGAGAAGGGAGGTCGGTGTGTGGCCGTCTGCAGAAAAGAAAACAAAGCCATTGTTGTGTTTTGTTTTTGTGTGGTTTTTTAAAAACCATTTTTTTTTTTTTTTTTTTTTTTTTTTTTTTTTTTTGGTGTAAAATGGATCGGGGTGAGCCCCGACAGGAATAAAATGAATTTGGTGTGCAGTTCGTCGGCTTCGTCTGTTTGTTTTTTTTTTTTGTTTTTGTAAAATGGAAGATAAAATAAAATAAAGAAAGATAAAATGGAGTGCAAAAGGGGAAGAAAAGTTGTCATGGGCGGTGGTGTAATGTTTAAAAAGAAAAGATAAAAAAATAAAAGAACGGTTGGAAAGATGAGGCAGGGTGTGTGAATCTGTGAGGTGATATGGCGTAGTATAATATGGTAGAAGATATTATAATGGGGTGGTGGGAACGTGGGGTTGTTGGAAGAATAAAAAAAGAAAAGGGGTCTCGTTATGGAGGTGCAAGTCGGCCAGTGGAGGGAAAAGAAAAAGAAAAAGAAAGGAAAAGAGAGGGTGGAAAGGGAGAGAGAATCAAGAAAGCAAAATGGGGTGGGGCGCAGAGAGAGAGAGAGAAGAAGTGGGGTGTGTGTGGTTAAATAAATAAAAGAAAAAAAAGGGTGTGTAGTGTAAGGATCACAGAGACTGCCTCTACATCTACACACGGGCATCTCTCTCTATTAGCAATGGCTCGGACCAAGCAAACAACACGGAAGTCCACCGGAGGCAAGGCTCCGAGGAAGCAGCTCGCCACCAAGGCCGCCAGGAAGTCGGCGCCGGCCACCGGCGGAGTGAAGAAGCCCCACCGTTTCCGTCCCGGCACAGTGGCGCTTCGCGAGATGCGAAAGTACCAGAAGAGCGCAGAGCTCTTGATCCGGAAGCTTCCATTCCAGAGGCTCGTGCGTGAGACCGCGCAGGACTGCAAGACCGATCTGAGGGTCCAAGGAAGAAAGCAGAGAGGATAAGTTGGTGGGCAAGGTGAGACCAAATCAAGTAAAGAGTGGCGGCGGTGAGAGCGCCGCAACCGACGCCGAAGAGGAGAGAGCCGACTACGCTGAGAAAATCCTTGGTGCGATCGCGAAAGGAAGAGGAGTGTATGAAAGCACAAAGAGGCTGAAACGATCTCCGGGAAAAACACGAGTCTGGTTGACCCATTGGTTCTGTGGTCGGCCATTGACAGAGAGACCGGCAGTATTATACTGGGGGAGATTTCCACCAAAATGCGACCCTTGAGGTAAGGTATTCAACTGAAGCTGAGGGTTCGAGAAGGGGGAGATGACGTTGTCGGCGAGAGAAGTGAAGGAGAGGAGGCCGGGTCGGACAGTAAGGGTTGAAGAAGGTGGGGTGATTGTGGTGGGCTATCCGTGGCAATTGGGACTTCTGTGTTTGATGGCAGTAAGCTTGGGATTGAGCCATACTCTGTGGAGGTATTGAAAAATTCCAGCGGGCAGCGAAGTCATGGTTGCCGGCCGGCTGCCCGCCGGAAAGAAAGGAATACAGGCCTAAATCTTATGGCTCTGATACCATGTAAAGAAACTGATGTATTATTGATTGATGTATTGATGTATAAATTACAGATGGTGAGGTACTCGTTATATAGGAGAGGATTGGGGAGTAGGTGAGTGTGTGTGGTAGGTGAGTTGAGTGGAGGTGGTAGGTGATGATATATTTTAACAAAGTTAGCACTTTCTAGATGAAAACAAACATGAGAACCAAGATCGTAGATCATTCTCCCCCATTTCACAGATCACAGATCAAGGAGCCCTATTTGAGCCCCATTCGCAGATCGCAGAAATCGAAACAGAGTTGTCACCAAAAATCGAAACCTCGTCTCAAATCCATCAACCACCAGAAATTTCTGGTATTTATTGTTTAAAATTCTTTTGAAATTTCTTATTTGCATTGCAATTGTTTGATTATTGTTGTTGTTGTTGTTGTTGTTGTTGTTTGTGATTTTTTTTTTTTTTTTTTTTTGAAGGGTTTGGTTGTTGAAATAATTTATGTTTAAAAAAAAATTCTATTTTAAACAATTTCTATTTTAAAAAAAAATTAGTGAATTTGGTTTTACAAAAAATCAACTCTGTTTTGCTGGGAATGATGAGGGATGGAATGAAGAAAACGATTGATTTTTGGTGGGTTGGCACATTTGGCAGTTGTCAAAGTTGGTGTCAAATTTGACAGTTACCAAATTTGGCAGCTGTTATAGCATGCCATTGGAGAAGCTATTTTTGGCTTTAGCAGCTGTTTTAGCAATGCATTGGAGATGCCCATCCCTTTGGAATTGATCAATTCCAATGCATAAACACGTCATTAAAAATCAAAATTAATGGCCTATAAATTTTACGCCAAATTAAATTTTAATATCTTTTTCAAGTATTTTTTAATTTAAAAAAAAATAAAGAAAGAAAAGAAGATAATGTTAATATACAATTACACCTATTTCACAATTATTAATCTGAAACATCTCCGTTTCATTCATTCATGAATGTTAGATACAGCAGACTATAGCTGTAGCCAATGACTTGGCAAAAAGCTGACAGACACAAACCTACCTACCTGAAACCCAACGAGAAATTATCCATTGCTTTAGGAGTATTGCTCTACATTATTTTTGTTTAAATAAGTGGGAAAATGAGTGAGAGCACTAATTAGTGCTATCACTAATGATGTGGCAGTGGGCCCCACCAGGAATGATTTGATGTTTTGGCCTTGGTGTTGTATTTTTTTTCTTTTTTTATTGAGTGCCATGTCATTAATGGTCTTTTTAGAGTTCCAAAATTAGTAGTTTCTATCATTGTTGAAATAAGTGTTCAGTTATCTCTTCAAAGAAGATAAACAAATAGTAAAATTTATTGTTTCAACCAACGATACTTTAGTTGAGACATCAATCCATGCAGTGAATAATTTCTCCAATTTAACACCAATATAACCTTATATATATGCATATAATGGTGTCGTTTGGGAAGTGAGTTGGCTTTTTAGCTCTTTTGGCTATTTTAGTATGGGGTTAAAAAGTCTAGTTTGGGAAGAGTTTTTTAGCTTTTTTTTTTACTTTTTGACTTTTTAGTGAGGTGTCCACATGTTAAATGACCAAACTGGCCTTAGTGTTTTACATTTCCATTCCTAACGCCTTAGTGTTTTACATTTCCATTCCTAACTGTTCTTCATATGCATATAATGGTGTCGTTTGGGAAGTGAGTTGGCTTTTTAGCTCTTTTGGCTATTTTAGTATGGGGTTAAAAAGTCTAGTTTGGGAAGAGTTTTTTAGCTTTTTTTTTTACTTTTTGACTTTTTAGTGAGGTGTCCACATGTTAAATGACCAAACTGCCCTTAGTGTTTTACATTTCCATTCCTAACCGTTCTTCCTCCACGTCAGCGTCATTGTACTTTTTTCTTTTTCTCTTTTTTTTTTTGGCTGAGGCGTATTTGTCATTTTTTATGGTTCTCTTTTTTTAATTTATGTTTTTGTCATTTTTATTTTTTTTATACATTAATTTGTTTTTATTTTTTAAAAATAGTTTTTCATGTGTTTCATTTATTTTTAAATTATGTGGCAAATGCTAATTTCTGTTTTTATTTTTTATTTTTTTTTTGGATGAGGCGTATTTTTCTGGTTCTTTTTTTTAAATTTACGTTTTTGTCATTTTTATTTCTATTTGTATGCATTAATTTGTTTTTATTTTTCAAAAATGATTTTTCATGTGTTTCATTTATTTTTAAATTACATGGCAAATGCTAATTTATGTTTTTAATTTTTTTTTTTTTTTTTGTGTTGGATGAGGCGTATTTTTCTAGTTCTTTTTTTTTTTTTAATATACGTTTTTGTCATTTTTATTTTTATTTGTATACACTAATTTGTTTTTATCTTTCAAAAATGGTTTTTCATGTGTTTTATTTATTTTTAAATTACATGACAACTGCTAATTTCTATTTTTAATTTTTTTTTTTTTTTTTGTTGGATGAGGCGTATTTTTGTTGTTCTTTTTTTTTCATTTACGTTTTTGTCATTTTTTTTATTGTTTTCAATTTGCTTTTTTTTTTTGGGTTTGGAAAAAGCTTTTTTATGTTTTGTTTTTTTTTAACATGACGTGGAAAATGTAAATTTGGGTGTTATGTTGTTGTCTTATATATATATATATTAATTTGTTTTTTTTTTATTTTGGAAAAGGCTTTTTCATTTATTTCTTTTTTTTTTAAATGACGTGGAAACTGCTAATTTCGGTTTCATTTTATTGACTTTTTTTTTTTTGTTTAATTTGTTTTTTTTTTTCGAAAAGGTTTTTTCATATTTTTTAATTTTAAATGACGTTGACAATACTTATTTCAGTTTCATTTTAATGTGTTTTTTTGTTGTTGTTGTTTTTTATTTATTTTTTATTTGTTGGAAAAGGCTTTATTATGTTGCTTTTTTTTTTTCAAATGTCCTGAAAAATGATAATTTCGGTTTTTTTTTTTGTTTTTTTAAAATGACGTGGAAAATGCTAATTTTGATTTTATTTTATTGACTTTTTTTATTTTTCATTTATTATTTTTTTTTTGGAAAACGCTTTTTCATGTTTTTTATTTTAAATGTAACACCCTGTCCCACATCGGAAGTTTGCATGGGTGATCTTGGGCATATATAGCACCACTACCTTGCTACTAAATAACTTGGACTTAAGCTTTTGGGTATTGTTGGTCGACCCACAAGTTATTTGGGCCAGCAAGTAGTGGGGCGTTACATTAAATGACATGGAAAATGCTAATTTTGGTTTTTTTTTATTGTATTTTTTTTTTGGTTTAATTTTTGTTTTTTTTTTTGGAAAACACTTTTCATGTTTTCTATTTTAAATGACATGGAAAATAGTAATTTTGATTTTATTTTTATGCCTTTTTTTTATTTGTTTTATTTTTTGGAAAAGGATTTTTTATATTTTTATTTTAAGATGACGTGGAAAATGATGTGGCTATTTTGTCTGCTAGTGGTATGAATTGATACTTTTGTGAAAGTGAAACAGATTCGCCTGGATTAGTTTGGTAAATTCACCAAACGCTGAGTTGTTTGTGGACACGTAATGGTGTTTTGTCTTCCAAAAAATAAAACAAATAAAAAAAAAGGCATAAAAATAAAATCAAAATTACTATTTTCCATGTCATTTAAAATAGAAAACATGAAAAAGTGTTTTCCAAAAAAAATTAAACCAAAAAAAAAAAAGACAATAAAATAAAACCAAAATTAGCATTTTCCATGTCATTTAAAATAAAATAAAAAAACATGAAAAAGCGTTTTCCAAAAAAAATAAAAATGAAAAATAAAAAAAAGTCAATAAAATAAAATCAAAATTAGCATTTTCCATGTCATTTAAAAAAAAACATAAAAAATCCTTTTCCAAAAACAAAAAAAAAAAATCGAAATTATCATTTTTCTGGTCATTTGAAAAAAAAAACAACATAATAAAGCCAAACACATTAAAATGAAATCGAAATAAGCATTGTAAACGTCATTTAAAATTAAAAAACATGAAAAAACCTTTTCGAAAAAAAAAAACAAATTAACCAAAAAAAAAGTCAATAAAATGAAACCGAAATTAGCAGTTTCCACGTCATTTCAAAAAAAAAAAAAAAAAGAAAAAGCCTTTTCCAAAATAAAATAAAAAACAAATTAATATATATATATATATATATAAAAGACAACAACATAACACCCAAATTTACACTTTCCACGTCATGTTAAAAAAAAACAAAACATAAAAAAGCTTTTTCCAAACCCCCCCCAAAAAAAAGCAAATTGAAAACAATAAAAAAAAATGACAAAAACGTAAATTAAAAAAAAAGAACCACAAAAATACGCCTCATCCAACCAAAAAATAAATAAATAAAATTTAAAACAGAAATTAGCAGTTGCCACGTAATTTTAAAATAAATAAAACACATAAAAAACCATTTTTGAAAAATAAAAACAAATTAATGTATACAAATAAAAATAAAAATGACAAAAACGTAAATTAAAAAAAAAAGAACTAGAAAAATACGCCTCATCCAAAAAAATAAAAAAATAAAAAATAGAAATTAACATTTGCCACGTAATTTAAAAATAAATGAAACACATGAAAAATCATTTTTGAAAAATGAAAACAAATTAATGTATACAAATAAAAATAAAAATGACAAAAACGTAAATTAAAAAAAAAAGAACTAGAAAAATACGCCTCATCCAAAAAAATAAAAAAATAAAAAATAGAAATTAACATTTGCCACGTAATTTAAAAATAAATGAAACACATGAAAAATCATTTTTGAAAAATGAAAACAAATTAATGTATACAAATAAAAATAAAAATGACAAAAACGTAAATTAAAAAAAAAGAACCAGAAAAATACGCCTCATCCAAAAAAAAAAAAAAAATAGAACGTAATTTAAAAATAAATGAAACACATGAAAAACTATTTTTAAAAAATAAAAACAAATTAATGTATATAAAAAAAATAAAAATGACAAAAACATAAATTAAAAAAAAAAACATAAAAAATGACAGATACGCCTCAGCCAAAACACAAAAGAAAAAGTACAATGACGCTGACGTGGAAGAAGAACGGCTAGGAGTGGAAATGTAAAACACCAAGGGCAGTTCAGTCGTTCAGTCATTTAACATCTGGACACCTCACCAAAAAGTCAAAAAGCGAAAAAAGTCAAAAAACTCTTCCCAAACCAGGTTTTTTAGCCCCAGGCTAAAATAGCTAAAAAATCCCAAACAACACCATTATTACATTTCTAACATAGGAATGTGTCATCATCATTATTTTTAGGAATAGAACTAGTAGAAGACTATAGAGAGTTATGGCTCTTATGTTTCTGTGAAAAATTATATTTACCATTAATACTTTTAAAATATATATATATAAATCTTATTTTATAAATAAAATAAAAAATATGTATGACATTCTTCTATCATCCTACATTCTCCTTTTATTTTCTATTCAAAAAATTTCTTTATCCTATTGGAGATTACTTGTATCCTATTTAAATATTTTTATGTGTATATATATAATTTATATATCATATTGTATATACATGTGCATTTGTGTATATGGTGAAAAAAATTTATTTGTCTATGGCCCTCAGATAAAATCCTGATTCCGTTCTTCCTTCTCCTCCCTCTCTGGTTTGCCTCTGCTCAGTTTCTTATTTATTTATTTATTTATTTTTTTTGAAATTTCCCCCGTCATTTTGGGGAGCCGCAGGACGGGCCGCAGGAAATGGCGACCGACGATCCGGACTTGATCATCCTCATCATTATCGTCATCATCATGCCCAATTGCAACAAAGGGTCCTTGAAGAGGAGGGTATCCCAATACAGAGCCTTTAGTGGGCTTACAAGACAACGGTGTTAGAAGTACTAGTGAGTGCAGTGCAACAAGATGATGAGTCGTCAGAGAGGTGCTATCAGACTACATTTATCATGTTCTCGGATGAGTGAGGAGAGTACGAGTTCGTGTTCTTTAGGAGATTGGATGATGAGTTCAATGAAGTGGTGAAGTGTTATAAGAGAAAAGTGGGGGAAGTGATGGAGGACGCAAAGGAGTTGAATAAGCAAATGGATGCTCTCATTGCTCTGAGGTTTAGGGTTGATAATCCTGCGATGGGATCAAGAACTTCTGAAGTGATGAATCTTGCAGCCAATGGAAAAAAGCCAGGTAACAGGAATTTGAGCTGCAGGGTTAAACAATCATAGTTGTGTTTGGTTGAGGAATTTTGGGAGGAATTTGGAAAGGGAAAGGGAAAAGGTGTGTGAAACTAGGTGAAATATAGGTATACCTTTTTCATTTCCCTTTCCAAATTCCTTCTCAAATCCTCCAACCAAACACAAACACAGGATTAAAGATTATGTACCTTATCCCACCTTTAAAATTTCCCTGAATAAGGAGATATTGGTAGAATCCTATTCTATTTTATGTTTCTTTGGAATCGCTAGACATGGACTACATGGTGTAATGACTATAGTTCAAGGATATTTTGGTCTTTTATCCCACAATCTAGAGACTCTGTATCTCCCCATTTTGTATAAGTATTCTCCATATGGGAGATACATAGTAAAGAAGGATTGTCAATCTGGAGGTGCACTTTTATACCTAAACATGGGATTCAAAATCGACCAGAATACATAAACCAATTCCATGGCTTAATCCCCATAACAACACAACCTATGGGTTTATAATAGCATTCACTATTAGAGTGGATGGTGAAAAGGTAGATAATGTATGCCGTTGAATTTTTTGGTGGCTATTCTTGACATGAGGAAAAAATCTTAAATTATTTCAATGATTAATTGCACAGAAAAGAGAGATCTCGAGAAAGATGAGATAAGAAAAGCATTGCTGAAACTACAATCACACTAAAAGGGTTATGGTGGCGTTTTTTTAACGACGTTTTTTTAAACGTCACTGTTATTAGCATTTAACGACGTTTTATAAACGCCGCATATTCTTTAAGCAAAACGGCACCGTTTTATAATAGGAGGGGTTGAAAAACGCCTCCGAATGCGGTATACCACATGCGCCTTTTCAATCCTTATTTTGTATCTGGGCCCTCTCTCAACCCATACGCATACATCAGTTTGAATCTGAGCCCTCTCTCTCTCAACCCTCTCTAAGCTCCATCGAAGATTCAGATATTCGAAGCTCCATCGAAGATCCAGATCGAACCGATTTCAAAGCTCCGTCGAAGATTCAGAGATTCAGTGATTTCCATCGAAGATTCAGAATTTCGATGCTCCATCGAAGCTCCAGATCGAACCGATTTCGAAGCTCCGTCGAAGATTCCGAGATTCAGTGATTTCCATCGAAGATTCAGATATTCGAAGCTCCAGATCGAACCGATTTCGAAGCTCCAGATCTGAACTCTGACCCCTCGATTACTCGCATTTCAAGCTTAAATCGGTACTCTCTCTCTCTCTCTCTCTCTCTCTCTCTACATGAAGCTACATAAATAGAAAGTTTCATTTTCAAGATTTCATAGAAATCATCTACATGAAGGTAATATAAACATGATGGAAAATTTAGAGTTATATTTTATGCCTCTGTTTTTGTGTGCTGCTCTATTCTGCTGTATATGTGCCTCTGTATCTATGTGCATAGTGAAAATAGTGAAAAGGAACCATTATCTGGAACTGTTCCTGCGAGACGGTTGTTTGATAGATCCCTGCATAACAATGCAATACAAGAACATCACATATTTATATATGCTATATATACATTTTTATATATGTTTTTTTTTTCCCTTCATTTTTTATGTCTAGTCCAGGCATGAACTTGATAACTACAATTATTGGGTTTGGAATGATTGCCACTTTCATTGTGTTTGTCTGCTTCAGACTGATCTGTGGGAGGATTAGAGGCGTTGGCTCAAGGCAAATGTCTGAGATTGAGTCTAGGATTGATCTTGAACAGGAAGATTTGTTTCTCCACACTGAATCTGACTCTCCATATGGATATGTGGTTTATGGTGTTGGTCATATTTGTTTTATCTGTTTCTGTTTGATGAAAGTTCCCAATGATCAGTAAGTCTCAAACATTATAATTTTTATGTTTATTAGGCTTCAATTGTAGATTAACACTTAATAGGCTTTTCTCTTTGCATTGGATAGAAGGTTATGATTTTTCTTGATGGATAGCAAAGACCACGTGTTCACTTTAGTTTGTTTTTTTTATGCATATGTCATTGTCGATGGATTGGTTAGTTTGTAGCTTGGTCATCAAGATGAGAACAGTGAGATATATAAAAGCATTATGCTAAACTATGAATCTTTTAATTTTCTATTGTCAAATTTTATAGAGACTGCTTGTGGGTTTATGCTTGTTGATTGTAACTATGAATCTTTTAATTTTCTATTGTCAAATTTTATAAATTTGACCTTTAATAGAATTGTTCCCTTTGGAGATGAATTTAAGATCCTACATATTGTTATAAATTAATTTCTCTCTCTCTCACGTGTGTGCGCATGCCATGGTGTGGCAATGAAGGGAGACATCCTGGAAGATCCAGCAAATGAGCCAAACAAAGATACATACATGATGACTATTGAGCCAGAAGATGCACCCAACCAACCTGAGTAAGTTTGCTTGTTTGATGTGCATTTCAATTCCTTTAATTTAGTCAAATCTTGATTTATGCATTTGCTTCTTTGTTTTTTTTCCCCCCCATGTAGATATGTACAAATTGGGATGGTTTCAGGGCTTCCTGTTTCAGTCAATGGAAAGGAATTCTCCCCTGCATCTCTGCTTTCTGAGCTGAATGAAATTGGTGGGCATATTATTTTTGTTCTTTTCAAAAATCTGACTATGATGAGTTTTATTGATTGCATGGTGGATCCAAGAACATGCATAAATGTCACCCCATGTATTGTACAATTGGGGGTAAGATCTTTCTCCTTTTGAAAATTTGTATAAAATTTCTCTCTCTCTCTCTCTCTCACACACACACAAAAATTTTGTTATATGCCATTCAGATTTTTAATTGGCCAAGTATTGTGTAGAAAATCTTCGAGGAATCCTTGAGAGAATCGAATTTGTGGAGGGTGTTCTAAATAGAAATCTCAAGTAACGAAACTAGATGAGGGAGAGAGAGAGATGAATTCAAAATTCCTAAACCATTATATTGTGCTTTTCAATATTTTGATGTCATGCTGATAAGTGTATATACTCTGTTCATTTGAGATATAAAATTAGTAGCACAAATTGATTACTTTTTTTTATTTATTTTATCTAAATAGATAGTTAGCGATTGTTCACATGTTTTATCCTGTACTTCAAGCTTTATATTCATATGCTACGTGTTGCTTTTGCTTCCCAGAAAACCATTTTAAACGTAAGTCCTGGGTCATCAAATGCATCTGGTTCTAGCTCATCAAAAGAGCAGCATAATCAACAATATCCAGGTTTTTCCTTTTATATACACATTTTACAAAATTTTGTTACTTTATTATATTTACCGAACTCAAAATTTATCTATTGCCAATCCTCATATATATCCCCCTCCTGGGCGGACCTGGTTTCTTGTGTCAGCAATGCCTTTAGCCTTTAAACTGATGCTTGCTTTTTTGCAGTGCCAGAGGTCAAATGCAGAAAGCGACATCAGAGAAAGCATTTTGAGAACCAAAAACCATGTCTGATGAGAGGTGTCTATTTTAAGAATATGAAATGGCAGGCAGCCATAAAAGTTGACAAGAAACAAATTTACTTGGGAACTGTTGGATCTCAAGAAGCTGCTGCTCGTTTGTATGACAGGTATTAAACTGGTTTAGCTGTACATACACATAGAAGTTCTTAATTTGTTCACTTTAATTTGCACAAATCCCTCCCAGAAATCTGCTGATGTGTGTACAACATAACATGAGTCTACCATTTGATCAACATATAGGCTATAGTTTGAAAACATCACAATACAAGCTTGTCGTAATACTTTAACTTGAATTGCACATACCCTTCCAAATCAGTTTTTGTTTTTTTTTAATAAGCTATTGCCAATTATTCTTGATATTGTAATTATTGCCAATATGATGCGTCCTTAGAGCTCAACAGACAAGGATTTGTAACAGTACCTAATTTCTTAGTGTAGGTATTGTTTCAACAAGTTTAAGCTTTTAGTAACTATTGTGCTTGTCTTTGGTTGTCCTTTTTCCATGAATTGGACAAGTATGAACCCGTATGCAATCTTCTGATATTTATAAGTCCCTGACGACAGCACTTCAACATCCATCCTTGGCAGTTTTGGTTTCAACTGCTATTATCATATGTCTCCAATCGATGCATCTTCCCTAACTGCAATACTTCTGCTGAAATCCCTGCCTTGTTGCCACTTGTCCTCTTGTCCAACGTTTGGTTGCTTGATTCTTGAAAAAATCCGCTTGCAACTGCCCTGTTCCCACCATCTGCCCTTTTCCTGCTTTTATCAATTTCACACATGCTCCTATAAGCTTCTTCCAAGTGACAATCCAATCTTCAAGATTTCAAATCCTTTCCAAGACGTGTCCCTTTGTTGACAGAAAATACAAAATGTAGTGCAAACAAGGATACAGCTTTTCTCATTATTCAATATAAAGTTGAGATGGAGAATAGTCTCTGGTTTTGTGAAGAAATTGATTGTGAGGTTCTGATTTCTGTTTTTTTCAATTGAAACTTTGATGTATTTGCATTTTTTTTTTTTTTTTTTACTTCTGACACTTGTGGAATTGCTTATAGGGAGGTGAGTTGGATGAATCTGATTATCTTTGGCTTTTACACCTTATTTCAGTGTTTTATTTCCCCCAACTTAGCAATCGTAGAATGCAAATGGAGTATGCATTCAGCATGTATTCATCTAGTGAGTTACAAATAGAAGTTGAAAATATCAAACCTTTAACAATTTTATCATCTATGATTGAGTTGGGAAAACTTCTGGACAAGTATCTTATATCTAAACTGAACATTTTTTGGTTAATGAATCTCTTTCTAGTCACTTTGGAATAATTAGTAATTTTTCTAGAAGAAATAAGTTCTGCTTTTGTTAGAAATATCCTACTAGGTGATGATCTTGTTTATAGGGTCTAATTATTAATAATATGTTCTAATGAGAAATATTTGAATTTCAATCTCAACGATATTACGCTCATTTATTTTAGTATAATCCACCAAATGATATTACGCTCTCTAGACTCTTTATTTACAATCACGTTGTGTTTGAGGGCTTTAGGATCTATTTGACCCCTTTTTTTATTTTTGGTTAGTAGTGTTTGTGCTTCATAGCTCTTGAATGGGGGGTACTAAACTTACCATAAGTTAGTTCTTAAGATGAAACAAGTCAGAGACTAATAAGCTACTAACCAATTTCAATTAAGAGTAAACCTAAAAGCCTTAGCAGCTACCTTTTTGGGAGGTGTACAGATATGTTCACATTATAGCTGTGCATAAGTAGGTTGATTAATTTACCTTGTAAATGATGGATTTCTCCCATTCATCCTCTTCAATTTCTCTGATGTAGCTATCTGCTGCATCAAGAATGTCATTTTGCTCATTTAACATGCAAGCCTTTGTCCTTGGGATGAGTAAATGGCCGCATATTTGTGAATTCCCCGAAATGTAGGGCTTAATGAGGAGCAAATAGATATAAGAAGCACCATGAAAGTAAGGTACCACCAGCAAGAAGGTGGTTATGCCCTTTACATAATGCCAAAAGGGGAACCTAAAGGCAAAAAAGTGATAATCGTACCACCAGCAAGAAGGTGGTTATGCCCTTTACATAATGCCAAAAGGGGAACCTAGAGGCAAAAAAGTGATAATCATACATAATTCACCATAAAATTATTAAAAAGGGGAAGAAAAAAAAACTGTGATACAAAATGAAAAATTGGGATTTTTGAAAAAACTTTTTAGCAACTTCCCAAACGCATCAACCTTTTTACATTCTAAAAAAACCAAGGCCAAACTCCATATTACAAAATAATAATAATAATAATAATGAATTACCACACTAGGAGCTTTGCAAGCATGGACTCCAAGATTTTGGCAACAGAATACAAACCCAATAGGTGAGACATTGCTAATAGTTGGACTGTATATTACTCTCTATTGCCCGGATCGAAGCATACCTGTTTAAGTGCAGAAGTCAAAGCCTCACTAAATTCAGTCCTTGAGTTTATAGTTTACAAATCAAGGTACAAATTTGGAGAACACACAAAGTTGATGAACACCCATTTCATAGTTTTAGTATTACAAGAGAAACATGAGAGGACCAGAGAGGTACTTACAAAGGACACAGCAATGTAAATGGAGGCCTGTAGATCAATAGAAGTACAAAATGAGAAGTATACATTTACATGAAATTTGTAAACAATTAAAGGAAATATAACATGGTATAAATAATGTGCACATAAGCACTTGACGTTTGGAAATAACCATTTAGCTTATGATAAAAGTACCTGGGACTGCTATAAAATCTGCATTTGGGTGTTTCTCCCATGGTATGGTAAGTAATCAAATGCTGATATCAAGGGAGAAACTGCAATGAGGAAATTCTGAGTAAATGTTAGTTGACCAAATATTTTACTAACTAGCCAATTGCACTCACTCACTTTTGTTCAAAAAAATATATATATTGTACTTGCCCAATGTTTGTCCTGAGAAAGAGTTCTTGTTTTTACTATGAATATTAGTCTAAGAGTTCTTGTTTTTACTATGAATATTAGTCTAAGAGCTCTGCATGGAGTCTAGTAATTTAAACCTAGCGGCATCTGGTGAAAGAAAATCCCAAGGGCCATCAATATACCTTTATCCCCTGATAATGCAACCCACAATAATTTTTGCTAAATATTTATCCAAATGCAATCTCTCCTGAAAGTATTTCCTTATATCTTGTTTTAGTGCCTCATATCTTTAACCATGCAATATCTTGAATCCTTAATTGCCTTCTATGTCAACTTGAAGGATGTGAATCAGGGTGCAGCAGCTTTCTCTCAAGTTTCTAACCGTCACTTGCTGACTCCACATCAGGGCCATCTTCCTAAGCATCAAGGTATGAACACAATAAATCACGGTTGAATTATTTAAATATGTTATATAAAATCGGTTTACATCAATGTGATTACAATCTATAACCGTTAGGTTAATGAGGAATTTCTCAGGTCCTTAATATATAAAGCAGCACTAATTTTATTTTCTTTTCTTTTTTTTTTTTTTTTTTTTTTTTTTTTTTTTTTTTTTTTTTTTTTTTTTTGTGGTGAGGTTAGTATAGATATAAAAACCAGAGAAGGCTTGTCAACATTGATCAGGTCAACGGAATTCATTTGCATAGGAAAGGGAAATATGATTTTTCCTTTCTGATGAGGATTTGTTCTTCTATGATTTCTACATCCATTGTTCTATTGATTCCAAATAAAAAATAGAAATAATGTGTTTTACTTTGATGTTCAGACAGGACCAAGGATTGGAAGTGATATCAGAAGGTTTGGATACATTAAAAAACATGGCCCATGATTTGAATGAGGTTTGCTACTGCCTTATTCATTTGTATCTGTTGCTTTGTCCCATTTTGTGCACATCAATTTTTGACTTTGCAATTCATACAGGAAATGGATAGGCAAGTTCCTTTAATGGACGGATTGACACTAAGGTTTGAGAACACATCCTGTCCTAGTAATATCTGAAGCTACCAAGTATTCTTATATTATTAATGGTGTATTTTCACACCCTACAGGTCGACAATGCAGCATCTGACTGTGTTTTAGTTTGATGTTCACACAGGACCAAGGATTGGAAGTGATATCAGAAGGTTTGGATAAATTGAAAGACATGGCCCGTGATTTGAATGAGGTTTGCTACTACCTTGTGCATTTGTATCTGTTGCTTTGTCCCATTTTCTGCACATCGATTTTTGACTTTGCAATTCATACAGGAAATTGATAGGCAAGTTCCTTTAATGGACGCATTGACACTAAGGTTTGAGAACACATCCTGTCCTAGTAATATCTGAAGCTACAAGTATTCTTAAATTATTAATGGTGTATTTTCACATCCTACAGGTCGACAATGCAACATCTGACCTTAAGAACACCAATGTGAGACTTAAGGATACTGTTAGCCAGCCAGGTGATTAAGCTGCCACTGTATTTTCTGTAGATTTGCATCACTTTGTGTGCTGCAGAGAGAGAGAGAGAGAGAGAGAGAGAGATTCAGCTATGCTATGTCGTAGATCTCTTTGCTGGATTTGACAGAGTTTTGATTTGTTTCAGCTGAGATCCAGTCGAAATTTCTGTATTGATATTATGCTGTTGTGCATAATTCTTGGGATTGCCGCCTATCTATACAAGTAAGTTTCACTTTCTCAAAAAAATGGACAGGAAAAGTTTTATCTAATTCTTGGTAATAGCTCACATGCTTAATGGACTCTAGAAAATACTTTCATGCATGGGTGAAGTTATAGTTAGAAGCCAATAATTTAACTTATAAACTAAAGCTGAGTGCATGGTTATTCTGGTTTGGATCTTCTTCTTGGTTTATTATTATGTTTTATGATTGGCAGAGACCGAGAGGATTGAAGGCCATGAGAAGGAGCATGGAGAGCGATTCAGAATGACAATGAAGGATGGATGGGGGCTTTCCTTCGGATTCTTATTTCTCTTTTTTTTTCTTTTTTCTTTTTTTCCTTTGATCTGATTGGGGAGTTGGGTGTTTTGGTTCACTTTCTTCTTATTTTTTGTGTTAGATGGGGGAGGGAGTGGTGAGAGATAGAGAGAGAGAACAGAGTAATATTATTTTGTGGCTTTGTATACAAAGTAGTAATTAATTTTTTGGTTGAAAATTGTGAATACAATTTTTGGGGGTAATATTAAAATATCATTTGTGGGTAATGGTGATTGGTGAATGGGAAAGTGAATTAATGATGCATTTGTTATTTGAATGTAAGTTATTATTTCATATTAGTGTTATTCAGTTTTATTATATGTATTTTTTTAGTTTAATCACATAAATTAGCACAATTTCAAAAAAAAAAAAAAAAAAGGAGATATCACGGCATTTTTTAAAAAACGTCACTTTAAACCCTAAATATTAACGGTTAGATTTTTAAAAAAAGATATGACAGCGTTTAAAAAATGTCGCTAAATATCATAATGACGTCATGATACTGTCAAGTAAGACATTTGGCGACGTTTTTAAAAACGCCGCCTATACTAATATAACGATGTTTTTAAAACGCGTCCTCGGTGCTTGGTGTTAAGCGTCGCAAAAAGCTGAATTCCCTGCAGTGTCATTCTTCATTCATGGTGTTATTCTAGAAAACAAATTTGTGAATCATATGCATAAAGATGTTTCCGATATTACTTTGTTTTCCTGGTTTGCATGGGTGTTGATATGATCTTTGACACCCGGTGATTAATTTATTTTTCTTTCTTTTACTTCATAGTTATGTGTATATATATATATTTATTGTTGGGGGGTTATGGATTATGAGTTAGGAATGGATGTTCCGAAGAGTATTTTATGCTTTTAAAATTTCTTCCTCTGCTTTGAATGTGAAGTAAGGTCACATATGGATGTTATTCAAGAAGCTGAGATGAGCACTGAAGGAAATATAGATGATGAAGTTAGACCAGACAATGAACCGGAAAGCAGTACTAACTATAGCAAAGCCGGTGTTGTGGGCTTTAGGCCACCTTCATTAAAAGTTTTGAATCATGTAAAGATCAATGTCACACCTGAAACACCTCTATCAACTTTACCTTCATTAAAAGTTTTGAATCATGTAAAGATCAATGTCACACCTGAAACACCTCTATCAACTTTGAAAACTATCCTCATGAGTTCAAAATCCGACTTGTCATTCAGCAAGGGGGAGCTGAGGAAAGTAGAAGAACAAATGAGACAGGCTTTTATTGAATTCTACCAAAAGCTTCTACTTCTGAAAAGCTGCTGGTAAGATTTCAACCTCTTCATCTCCTTCCCCGATTGATAATTTCAAATATATATATATATATATATATTATAATTTGAGTGTAACAAATATATTGGTGATCGATGTTTCAGTTTATTGAATCTATTGGCGTTCTCCAAGATCATGAAGAAGTATGCCAAGGTCTCACATTTTTGTTTTCATGATAATTTGAACTGTAAAGTTATTAAATTTTTGTTGCTTTTCATGTTTCTGTATTCACCAAGGTTTTAAAAAGCAGCCGCAACCATTACGTAACGCCGTTACGTAACGGTTGTGGTGGTTACCGCCACCCGTTACGGCCGCTTTTGCAGTGTGATTGAGATTCACAGGTGTGTCGGTCGTAACGATTGCTGTAGCGGTCGTAACGATTGCTGTAGCGATCGTAACAGTGCCGTAACAGCCGTAACGGCCTATTATGCATCGTTACGTAATAGTTCCGAACTGCTTCTTTTGAAAAAAACACACAAGAAAAAAGCTAAAAATGGGAAAAGAGAGATAGAAAGAAAATGGAAGATAAAGAGAGAAGATGGAGTAGCAAGAGATAGAGGTAGAGAGAGAGAAGAGGGAAGATGAAGAATATATTATTGATTTGTTGAAGCTGTAAGACCTATGCTATTCTATTCAGCTGCTATCACTCTATCATTTTGTTTGTGTGTGTCTACCTATATATTGTTTGAAAATAATAATAATAATAATAATAATAATAATAATAATAATAAGTGTGGTCATTATCTATTTGGGTTGGTTAAAATATGTATATATATATATAGGAAAATTTACCCATAAGTCCTAGTTTCTGAAAAGTTGAACCATTTAGTCCTAAAAGTTTTCTTATGCTCCATTTAGTCCCATTTGTACATCAATCTAATGTTTGAAACATTAATCTGATGTTCGAAATCTAATGTTCGAAACATTAATCTGATGTTCGAAATCTAATGTTCGAAACATTAATCTGATGTTCGAAATCTAATGTTCGAAACATTAATCTGATGTTCGAAATCTAATGTTCGAAACATTAATATGATATTTGAAACATTGTAATGGGACCTTTCAGTCTATAAGAAAACTTTTAGGACTAAACAGTGTATAAGTTATTAATTTTGGATTTATTGGTGCATCCCCCATATATATATTTAGGCTCTTATTTATTCTCTTACTTTTGTCATTGTTTATTTTATATATAATACTTAGTGATTGATTTTTTGTATAATATAAAGTCATTAATTATTAAAATAAAATGTAAAAAACTCAATTTATAGTGATTTAAAAATATGAAATATATTGGATCATACTTAAAAATTTACAAAAATTGATCAATATTTATTTTAAATCCAATAAATATGATCATGGAAAAAAAATATGCATATCGGTAAGTTTTTTTCAAATTGTGCGAAAAATAAAAAAATTCACGGCTCCGGTTACCGTAACCATTACGCTACGGCCTTTACACCCCGCAACTACAACCACGCCACCGCCACTGTTACAGCGACCGCAACCGCTTTTCAGAATCTTGGTATTCACTAATTTTAATTTGTATTTGCACAGATCACTTCAAGGAATGCTTCGAAGGCTTACTTGGAGATGATAGACAAATCTTAGCTCTGATGAGGTTTGATGCATGTCATGAGTTTCTGTTTCATGTGAGTAGGATTAAATCTCATGCTTGACACTAGCTTTCTGCTCCATCTCATGCTTCCTCAAGTCACAAGGCTGATAGAAAGAGTAGAGGCTACCTTCATAAAACACTTCTCAAATGGAAATCAATACTTTAAGACAACAAGCTAAAAGTGAAAAACATAGAATGACATATTTCTTGGGTAAGACTTTTGTTGCAAGAAGATATTGGACTTCATATCTCAAATATTATTCAGCAGCATATGCTGCACAAATTTCTGCTACTGTTGTTGAATTAAAACAAGTCATGAACATCAATGAGATGTGTTTTCTTCTTGCATTATTTATTTTTATTTTGTCTTGATGTATAGGTAGACAATGAAATTTCATGTTATACCTGGTCAGATCTTGTTTATCTATCATAAACAGTTATGGTTTATTTCTAAATTCTCCAAATCTTATTAGTTGAATCAATCAGATTCACTTATTTCCAGTACTTCCCTGTGAACTTGTTTCCTTCAATCTCCTTCTCTCATGTGAGCGAGCCATTGCCTTTCCACTGAGTTTGTTTCAATCTCATACTTGTGAAAAGTGAAAAAAAATATATATATATATATATATAATATTTGCTTCTTGACAACTTAATCAACATGAATTCTCTTGAACCACATTTCTCTTGCAGGTTTTTTCTCTGGCTGCTCTATAGCGCTGGTAGTGGCTATTATTGTGCGCATACATGCGAGAGATATATTTATGGTCAGGACGTGGGCAGTATATGGAAAATATATTTCCACTTTACAGGTATGTTCTAGGTATTAATAAGGCCATTTATGGTCAGGATGGTTTTTCACTGTTTGAATGAATATATTGTTCCAAGCCTAATTTTTTTTACAGCTTGTTTGGATTCATTGATCTACATATGATTATGTTCTCTGGAAACAACTTTTGGAGGCATTTCCGGGTCAATTATGCCTTTATATTTGGCTTCAAGAAAGGAATGGAACTGGGTTACCGAGAAGTTCTCCTTGTTAGTTCAGGTCTTGCAGTACTCACTCTGGCCGGTGTAATATCAAATCTGGATATGGACATGGACCCAAGAACAGGAAGAAGCTTCAGAACAACAACTGAATTGGTCCCTCTAGGCCTAGTCACTGTAACCCTATACACTTTTATATCCCCTCTTTTACCTGACATAATGCATGAATTATTGCATAATTTTGTTCTTTTTAAAAAGTAGTGTTTTACTATGGAATCCTTACACAAACTTCTGAGGAAACATAATAATTTTAATGAGCATAAGCTTGCAGCTGGTGCTTCTTATAACATTCTGTGCATTCATGCCTTTTACCGTTCAAGTCGCTTCTTCCTTATCCAATGTGCCTTTCACTGTCTTTGTGTTCCTTTATACAAGGTAACACAACTTTAAGTTATATAGATAACAATATATTTGACAATATAATCTTATCTCCAACAATAATAACATGTATGATTAAGTAGAATCAAAATTTTATATTTCTTTGCATTTGCAGATAACCCTCCCAGATTTATTCTTTGCGGATCAGCTTACTAGCCCGGTTTCACATTATGCTTATAGCAACATATTTATAATTATAATGTATTTCAATCTGTAAAAATATTGATGTATTATTGATTGATATTTTGATATTTATTACAATGATTCATGATTCCTATATATAGAAGAGGGTGAGTGTGTAGTAGGTGAGGAGTAGGTAGAGAGTAGGTGAAGTAGGTGAGTGTGTAGTAGGTGGTAGTGGTAGGTGTGTAGTAGGTGAATTTTAACAGCCCCCCGCAAACTCAAGGGGGATAGGAACTAACCAACTTGAGTTTGGAGAGAGTAACAAAACAAGAAAATACATAAAAATAAAAGAGGATAAGAGACACTGTATGGTCGTGTCAGACCATTGGTGAAGACACTGGATGGTGGTGTCATAACGTTGTAGAGAACACTGTATGGGGGTGTCATAACGGTGTAGAGGACACTGGATGGCGGTGTCAGACCGATGTAGAAGACAGTTTAGGGGGTCATGTATCTCATGGTGATTGACAATGAGATTCTCTACCATGTTCACTGTGAAGCTTCTATGACTTTGATGGGTTCAATTCTCTCATTATTCATAATGATTGAGGATGAACTCATCATGTCTAGCTTCTAGTGGCATTACAAGAGAATTATTGGTTCTCTCTTACATTCTTATGTTAGAGAAGCACTTTGGCTTGTTTTCCTTTCCATTATCTTATTTCTTGGCTTCTTTTGCTTGGTAGCTTCATATTTTTCATCTTGGTAGCCTTGCATGTGTAGTTAGCTTCTACTCTTGTCATCTTGCTTTCTTTTAGTTTAGATATATTCATGTTTATCTCTTTCTCTCTCTATCTCCTTTTTTTTTTTATACCTTTCCATATCTTGGCATCATGTTTTCTTTATTCATCATTTTTCATGTTTTGCATCAATTTTTCAAGCATAAGACTTGGCTCATTTTTCTTATCTATTATTTTGTATCTCTTACGTGATTATGTGCTCTACCCCATGTTTTGAGATGGTTCACATGCCATGTTTAGTAGCCATGTCTTCAGTTGCATTTTGTGAGTGTTGCATTAGTCTCCTTTGCATCTAGGATCATGCATTTCTAACACTTGTTTGCTTGGCTTGGTGCGGAGGAGTACTAGATGAGCTTCTTTCTTCTTCGCTTCTCAATTGTGTGTATGTTTTATTTATAGCACTCTTACCATGAGACTACTTACTTACTTGATATATTTTAAAATTTATAATCCGCCGTACCTCTGCAAGAAGAGAAGCTTCGCTCCATCATTTCCTTCCACGAATCTTCTTCGTGGCTTTCGCACTCTTTCCACCACTCCCTCACTGTTGACTACCGACTGGCAGAGCTCGTGCGCCATTTTAGCGAGCAAGGTGGTGTCGCAGCAGCAAGACCACCGTGCAGAGCGGGAACGCCGACAACATCACCACCGTTACACGGCCACCAAACCCTAGATCTCGTCACCAGTCGAGAACTCCCTCGGCGGTAGCATCCACCGGAACTAAGATCTCCTCCTCCGCCACCGACTCCACATCGTCGGCGAAGTCCAGTTCCCCATTCACCACTGCCTTCTGGCCCTCCCGGGCGTCCGAAACGAGTACCTCACTCGCGTCATTAGCCATCCTCAGGCCTTGGCTCCTTGAGCAGACGAAGAGAAATGGCGGATGACTTGGTGATGGACTTGGAGGCACTTCGTCCACTTCAAAGCATTGCAAAGAGGCCCCGTGTTGTCTCTCTCATTTCCTCTGAAATTCGCAACTTGGAAAAGCTGTCGAAAGAGGCTGCCTCTACAGTGACCTCTCAAGCACAAACTCCAAGCCCAGCTGTTGCACCCTTCCACAAACAAATATAATATATTATATTATATAATAGTTAACATAATAGTTATATAATATATCAAAATATAATATATTATATGATATAATAGTTAACATAATAGTTATATAATATATTATATTTGTTTGTGGAAGGGTGCAACAGCTGGGCTTGGAGTTTGTGCTTGAGAGGTCACTGTAGAGGCAGCCTCTTTCGACAGCTTTTCCAAGTTGCGAATTTCAGAGGAAATGAGAGAGACAACACGGGGCCTCTTTGCAATGCTTTGAAGTGGACGAAGTGCCTTCAAGTCCATCACCAAGTCATCCGCCATTTCTCTTCGTCTGCTCAAGGAGCCAAGGCCTGAGGATGGCTAATGACGCGAGTGAGGTACTCGTTTCGGACGCCCGGGAGGGCCAGAAGGCAGTGGTGAATGGGGAACTGGACTTCGCCGACGATGTGGAGTCGGTGGCGGAGGAGGAGATCTTAGTTCCGGTGGATGCTACCGCCGAGGGAGTTCTCGACTGGTGACGAGATCTAGGGTTTGGTGGCCGTGTAACGGTGGTGATGTTGTCGGCGTTCCCGCTCTGCACGGTGGTGTCTTGCTGCTTCGACACCACCTTGCTCGCTAAAATGGCGCACGAGCTCTGCCAGTCGGTAGTCAACAGTGAGGGAGTGGTGTCGGCGGCGAACCTTGATGGAGTGGTGTTGGCAGCGAACAGTGAGGGAGTGAGAGAGAGTGTGAAAGCCACGAAGAAGATTCGTGGAAGGAAATGATGGAGCGAAGCTTCTCTTCTTGCAGAGGTACGGCTGTGGAAGGTATGTGTAGAAAATTTAGCAGACTAGGTTGAGGTCCGACGGGCAGCTAAGGTGAGGTTGCCGCCCGCCGGGGAAGCGAAAATATTAGGTTCTAAACCTGCTCTGATACCATGTAAAAATATTGATGTATTATTGATTGATATTTTGATATTTATTACAATGATTCATGATTCCTATATATAGAAGAGGGTGAGTGTGTAGTAGGTGAGGAGTAGGTGGAGAGTAGGTGAAGTAGGTGAGTGTGTAGTAGGTGGCTGTGGTAGGTGTGTAGTAGGTGAATTTTAACACAATCCAGTCTATTTGCAAACATTCCGAGTATTATTCATACTTATATTACGGTTTTCCGCTCAAATATTTACTCAAATGACAAACCAATGAAACCATATATAATATATATACATATAACAATGGGGTTTTGGCTCTTCTTGTGGTTATGTTTTCTTCAATTTTCAATTCTCCATCAAAATTATACCAGATTAGTATTTTTCCTTACTTTTTAACACTCCCATCAAATTAAGAAACTGCTTTTATACAAATTATCAGAAAAGTACTACAGGCATTGTTTAATTTGCAGTGTAATACTAGCCTAAAGCTTTGCTGTGTTCTACTCAATTCAAATTTTTAATAAAAACTATGTAACAGTTACTGCTACTCTGTTTCAGGTGCAAGCATTAAGGTGTTCAGAACTTTACATCTGCTACTATGGTTGGGGGGACTCCAACAGGAGATCAAAAAAGTGCAGTAAAAGTGATGTTTTCAATGTTTTCTACATCATTGTTGCAGTTGTTCTATATTGGGTACGCTTCATTCAGGTATGTTCGTGTTAATGTGTTAACATTTGGTGCAAGAATGACATTAATTTGTTAGCCTGTGTGTCGTGCTAGATATGCATCTTGGACATATTGGCATTCAACAATGACATAGCATCTAGTTCTTTCTTCTTCTAGTTCTCTAGTGTTTTCCATTTGGACAACTAAGCATACTTGGATCTAATGTTACAGTGCCTTCGACGCTTGGTTGAAGAGAGAGACTCTATGCACGCACTTAATGGGCTGAAATACTTCTCAACAATAATTGCAGTTGTCATGAGAACAGGTAATGATCTAAAGTGGGGAAAGACTTGGAAGATCATGGCTACAACGAGTTCAGGAGTTGCTATAATTGCTAGTACGTACTGGGACATTGTCATAGACTGGGGACTTCTGCGAAGGAATTCTAGAAACCCTTGGTTAAGGGACAAGCTCCTTATATCAAACAAAAGTGTCTACTTTGTAGCAATAGTAAGTTCCAGAATAGTTGTTGCTAATCCTATCTGAACTGATAACTACTACATTTCCATGGGGAGAGGCCGTTGATAATTTTTTAATTCCTTTGTTTCACACGAAAATTGTAGGTACTGAATGTGCACTAAGGTTTGCATGGATGCAATCAGTTCTAGGTCTCTATGACATGCCTTTCCCGAATAGGACAGCCATAACTGCAATTGTTGCCTGTTTGGAGATCATTCGTCAGGGTATTTGGAATTTCTTCAGGTATGATGTATTTTAGTTTGGCGTTCAATTCTTTCCTAAAATAAACCAGAAAGCAATTGCTTCAGAAACCTTTTTCCCAGGAAAGAAAATATTCCACCAGAGGAACTTTTTCTGGAACTGATACAGAGGAAGAAGACATCAAAACTGACCAAAAGTTCACATAAAACTTTTTTTCCTAACAGCGGCCTCACCCCTACAAATGCAATTTTTTTCCCCCACATTTTGAAATGCATAACAAAATGATTAACAAAGATACTTCCTTACATTCGGAAAACTAGTGCAGGTTACTTTGCAGAAGTGCTTAACATGCTGGCTTCTTGTGCAATTTTATGAATGCTTCTTATATATCTAATCTCAACATTATTTCGTATTTTTTCTTTACTGGTACTTAGTAGCTTTGTTTCCCAATGCCTTCCTCAACCATTGAGCAGCTTTTCGAGTTCCACTTTTCTTATGTGTTCCATGTTATTTGACTTAACTCCACGTGTATTTTAGCTTCCCAAGTTGCACTCTTCTTCCACTACAGTGTATAAAATCTTACCTTTCATTTGTTACTCCAGCAAGCACAAGGTACATCGCAGTAATGCTGACCTTTAGCTTGGTAATTGGGACTATAAAAATCCATTAAAAAACGATAAAACTTGACAAGAACTGACTGAGTCACACCCCCAACAATTCAACTGTACTGTTCGTCACAAATCTCAGGAGACTGACTTTTTACTAATTGTATTATCATTATGTTTAACTGACCAGGTTGGAGAATGAGCACTTGAATAATGTTGGAAAATATCGGGCATTCAAGTCAGTTCCTTACCTTTCAACAATGACAATGAAGAAAAGGATGTATAACTATATATTGCACAGAACAGGAAGAATAGCTGTTATAATTACTTCAGCAATTGTGTGCAAGTACAAGAAACAGATGAGAGCAAATTATTTTAAAAAAAAGAAAAAGAAAAAAAGAAGGGTAAATTACATTTACCTCTTCTAAGGTTTTTGAAAAATATAGGGACCTCTCCTGTGGTTTGAATAATTACAGTAACTTGTCCTACTTTACCTGACAATATCAAGATTCTTTCCTTCTGTCAAATTGTTTCAAACGGTGTTACCTTTTTATAATAAATTACCTTATTACCCTTTCTTTTAAAATATTAAAAAATGTTTTTGGATTGGATGACAGGTTTGGAAGAAACAAATAGTGATTGGAACAGTATTTTAGATTTATTTTTTTAAAATATTAAAATATGTTTAAAAAACATTTATTTTTTATTTTAAATATATAATTTTTATTTAAATATTTGATTTTATTTTGTTAATATTTTAATTTTTTCAATTTTAATATTTTAAACTCAAAACACAACTTCACACTCAAATCGTAACTCAAAACTAAATTAAAAAATTATTTTCAAAACTAATAACCAAACACATAATTCAAAACTCCACACTACTTTTAAAACTTTACACTCAAATTGTAACCAAATACATAAAAAAAAAATTAAAATATTTAAAAATATTTTTATAAAATAAAATATTTAAAATAAAAATAATTTTTTTTTCAATTTTTTAATATTTAAAAAATACAACACAAAAATGTATGAAATATAGTGTACATTAAAATAAATAAATAAATATTTAAAATATAAAATATTTACCCTAAAAAAATGAAATTAAGAATTTTTTTAAATATTTTAAAAAAATAAATCCAAAAAATTTTAAAAATACAGCTCAAAACTCTTTTTAAAACTTATAACTAAACAAATTTTCTCTTTTGAAAACTCAATTCAAAACTCATAACTCAAAATACGACTCCACAATTTTAAAAAATAAAATAAAAAATTATTTTTTTGAATTTTTTCTTTTAAAAGAGAGTTTTGAAAAGAGTTTGATTTTGAGTTTTGAAAAAAAAAATTTGAATTGAGTTTTAAGTTGTGTGTTTGGTTATGAGTTTTGAAATTAATTTTTAAATTGACCCCTGTGAAGCTAGAAGATAGTGAAAAATCTCAAGTGAAGCTTGAGGAGTGGATGTAGGCTTGGTTGAAACCGAACCACTATAAATCTGTTTGTTTTTTCTTCCCTAATCTCTTTACTTTTCTACTACTGCTATAGCTATCTAATATTCATGTGTTAATCATTTGATTTACCCTGTATGTTTGTTATACTTCATTGTTATTTTGCTTGATCATTTACTGCTAAGCTCATCATTGTGCTTGTTTTAATTTTTTTGTTATGCGTTTGGTTACGATTTGAGTATAGAGTTTTGAAAGTAGTGTGGAGTGTCGAGCTATGTGTTTGGTTATGAGGCTTGAAAATAATTTTTGAATTGAGTTTTGAGTTATATGTTTGGTTACGATTTGAGTGTAAAATTGTGTTTTGAATTTAAAATATTAAAATTAAAAAAAATAAAATATTTAAATAAAAATTATATATTTAAAATAAAAAATAATTTTTTTAAACATTTTTTAATATTTTAAAAAAATAAATCCAAAAACACTGTTTGTTTCTTCCAAACTTGTCCTCCAATCTAAAAACATTTTTTAATATTTTAAAAGGAAGGGCAATAAGATATTTTACTATAGAAAAAGTAACACCGTTTGGAACAATTTGACAGAAGGGAAGAATCTTGAAATTGTCAGGTAAAGCAAGGGAGGTTACTGTAATTATTCAAACCACATGAAAGATCCCTATATTTGTCAAAAACCTCAGGGGAGGTAAATGTAATTTACCCAAAAAAGAATTGAACATACAGAGGGAGGCTTCCATATCTTACGTGCACAAAGGTATGAAATCTACTGAATGGGGAAACCAAAGTACCTGTTGGGTATGCAGCCAAGAGCAACTGACCAGACACTGTAGGTACCACTGATTGCTATATGGGTGCTCCAATAACTTCTCTCTGAAAAGCAAAAACATACAATCAGAAGACTCAGCACTTGCCCAAACTCATTATGTTATAGTATATCTCTTAGTTTTGTTTTTTACCACCTTTGTTAATCTGCGGCCTGCAGTCCACAGTGAGTGCAACAAACAGTTTTCCATGCGGAGTTTTGTATCATGGCTATCCGCTTGAGTTTGAAAGTGAAGTGTTCATTATTTATTCAGAAGCATTGTACTATTATGATAATAATCAGATTTCACTAAAAGCTTGAACTGAACTGAATGAATGGTGATCCAAATGAAATTTGAGCATCCTCTCTGTACTAAGCAAAATAATGAAAACAGAGAAGTACCACACCAACATAACCGCTGATCTTGAAGAGTAGGAATTGGATCACCTATACGTTGTAGAGGTATTGATTCTTAACAAAAAATACACAGTTGGGCATGGATAATTAATCCTTTCCAGCAAGATTATAATATAAGATACTCTTATTTCCTTGAACTTTGGCACACCAATGTCATAAGCAATGTAAGAAGACGAATTAGTTAGAAACTGGAACTCGTAATAGCCACTGGAATAAATATTACTGTGATCCAAATTACACAATTAATCCACCATAAAATCTAGTTGTACACAATGATATCCTAAATATATGGCCAACAGCTTATTAAGCACATCTTACATTCAGTCTCTCCCATTACAAGGTTATATCAGAACCAAGAGAAAGCACAATCACCAGAAAGTTGAGTTCTACTTGGGGGAATGGGCAACATCTGAGCTTGCCTCCTGTCCATTCTGCAAGCTGGCTAAAGAATCGGCACAAGGTGAGTTTTCTGCAGTCACAGCACCATTGCTTTCATTATCCTGGCTCCCAAAAAGTGATGCAAATGACAATGGATTATGTGTGGAGCTTGCCCTTTTAAGGCCCTGTATAGTTCTCATTGCTGCAAGGGTTCTCCGGTATACATCTATTGTTTCTTCCCCAAGTGATGATGATGTCTCTGCAGAAATATTTGTCATCTCACCAGGTGCAAGGTTACTTTGATCTCGTTCAGTAGTAGAAGATTGAACAACTTCTGCTTCCAATGGGAAAAGGAGCTCAAGATTTGCCTCACACTCTCGTACTAGCCTTGTGAGAGGTTCTGTTGTGAAGAAGGGCTGATCAAGTGCGAGTTGCGTAAAAGGCAGCTGCAGCAATCCACCGGTTCTTTTGTCGTACTTCTTCAAAATCTTAATTAGACCTATTGAAGTAGGAAAACAAATGGTTTAGAAATTAAAAATATCCCACACTTCTAACACTATTCAAATTTAGAAAAGAGAATTTATAGTAATAGCTGCTTGACTGTTGTACCCGTAACATTTAAGGAGCTATAATTTTGAGAAGCACAATCTCCCCATGAATGGTAGAAAAACACTTTAACAATGAAATTAGATATGAAAAAAAAAAGGAAGAAGAAGAAGAAGAAGAAGAAGGAAAAGCTGTTGGACCTGCAAAATTTAGGGAGCTATAGTTTTTGAGAAGCACCATCTCTCCATGTATGGTGACATAGTCCTTACGGATGTCCATCACCTCTTCACCGAATTCAGTCTCTGATGTGAAGACCCCATCCTTGCTGCTCTTTTCTTGCACCCACTCAATTCTTTCCTTCAACTCCTGTTGCAATTGCATTTAAATATCAATAAAGATCCATAATAAAATAGTTGGATGGTAGCTGACCACTCTATCTATGGTTCTGCAGATGCAGTGGAGCACCGACTTACTGACTAAACTCGGACAAATTGTTTTACACTGGTTGCCATCATAAACATGTACGGAGATGTGTCAACCAAAAATGCATTACGTGGAAAAGAACTCAAAAAATAAAAATTAAAAAGGCTAAATGAAAAAAAATTAACAAGAACTGCATTTACACTACATGCATCAAACTTAAAGTTATTAACATTTATAGCGCAGAAAAGATGTGAAATGGCCAAAGTGGCATAGAACCACAAACATAGGAATAATTACCAAATGAAGAATTACAATATGCACATAAGATGTAGATTCTACAGAATTACTAATACTACATTCCTACTCCTTACAATTACTAATACTACATTCCGTCTTCTATCTTGCTGCTGCTTACCTTAAATGTTGTAGATTCTAAAGCAACCTCCACAAGTATCAAATCATGCCCGAAACTCTTTTAAGACCAAAAAACAAAGATACTCTTGTGAGAGATGACTTTAAATTGTAACATGATAGCCTTCAAGTAGTGAAAAATTGAACCTTTTTGATGCAGCCTAATAGGAGACATTAAATCTTGTTTGTTAAATTTTTAAGTCTAACTAAACAAAACCTTAATAAGAACCAACAAGTTGGTCTTTACTATGCAAATCCATTTTTTGCAATTCAGCTCTTCATCTAATTGTGTATATACATGCTACTTCTTTTTCTATGACCGCATCAAACCAAATTTATTTTTAGACTCTAAGCCATTTCAACACCTTGAACTCAAAAATAAAATAACCATATTGTTTTCCAAGAATGTGAGAAAAACATCGTAGATAAATTTATGGTATCTCTAGCCTCTCACCAATGCATTTATTAGTCATTCTATTTTTCCTTGCATTGCACTAATCAATCTCAACCCTCATTCTGTGGAAATACTATTCTTTCTTGATCACCTTACATTACAAGCAAAACAAATAGTTTCTATGACTTAGATATTTGTTCAACAAACACACAACATCCTTAAGCACTTCTGCACAAGAATGATTAGTAGAAAATTAATCCAACACGACAAAAAAGGTAGCTTCCGCATATGTTATAGCCACCTATGTAACTATGTTCCTTCTTCTAACTTTATTAGATTCCCCTCTCCATCTTGATGCTACTTTATCATAAAAAGTGTAGATTCTAAAGCAACCACTCTAATTCAAAAGGAGTAGCAAAGTGTTTCACCAACCAACTCAATAGTTAAATCTTGTTCATTGTTCTTGTTTAAGTCCACAGCGAAGCTATCGGCTCTGTTTGGTTCAATTCCTAAACTTGTTTTCTGATTTTTTTTTTTTTTTTTTTTTTTTAAAAATGTCAAACTAGTTTGACAAAAATAAATACCAGAAAAGAGAAAACCACATGAAAAATAATTAGTGTAATTATTTTTTCAAATTTTTTTCACCAACAATTTTTTGTCTTGAACCTAATTCATGCATTTTCTCACTCTCAATTTGTCCCTATCCAACTGCCCCTGTTTTTTATTTCAAATTTTGATTTCTTCAGGGCTTTTTTTTTTTTTTCCAACTACTTAAATTAAATTCTGATAGGGAACAATTAAGGTTTGGTTTATGAATTTGAATAGGGATTTGGAAAGATAAAATAATATAATTACAGTTCACACACTTTTTCCCTCTAAATTCATGAAGCAAACATAGCCTATCGTGAGTAAGAAAGAGTGAGAGGAGACCTGAAGGCGAATGACGAACTCTTCCTCTTTATCAACATAGAAATCGTTGAACTTTTCGAGTTCTTCGCTGAGAATCTTCACGAACCAGTCCTGGAGCTCGGCCAATGGCGGAACCAGCTGAAGACGGTGGTCTACGGCGGCGGAGGAAGCGTCATCGGCGGTGGAGGGGATGTGCTTGAGAAGCTTCTTCAATGGCTTGTAACATAGAAACTTGTCCCTCCATTCGGGTAGGGTTTCGTCAAGGTGGATACGAAACTCCTTCCCAAATTTCATGCCAAAAATATATTTTTATAAAAAAAATAAAAAATTGTTGTTGAGAATCGACGATTACGAGAAATGCTTGTGCGAATTGCTGAGTTGAGTGAGAGAATGAGAAGGAATGAGGAATATGAGAAGAGGATAGAGATGAAAATGTTTGGGGAATGGGATTGGAATATTTTATCATCGGCCTTTTCGACGATACCATTAATAATAATAGTAAAGTAAGCAACAAAAGAGAATGCGGCTGATCCTGACGATGATGCCGACGATGATGTTTTTGATGCTCGGTTGACTTTGTTATTGAAAAATATTATAGGCGCTAATTTTATTTTATTTTTTTGGCCAAATATCTCAAGAATACTATCAGTATGTTTTGCTAAATTTTCAAAAAATTGACTTTTTGATTTTCGTATTTTTTTATTTTTAGTAGATGTTTTTTAAATTTTAAATATTTTATTATTTTTTTAGATATATTTTATTTAGATGTATCTAAAAAGTAAAAAATTTGTGAAAAAATATTTTAAAAAATTAATAAATACATAAAAATATACTGAATTATTGTATTTTTTTTATATTTTTGGTATTTAGTGAATTTTTAAAAGATTTTTTTTATAATTTTTTTATTTTTTAATTGTATTTATGTTAAGTGTATCTAAAAAGTTAAAAAATTACTTAAAATATTAAAAAAATTCAGTAGAAACAAAAAAAACACAAAAAATAAGAAAGTAGAATTTTTTGAAAAATATTTTTTGAAAAGTAAAAACAAGCAAGGTGAATATTTTTGAGTAATTTGAAATGTTTTAAATAAATAAATTTTTTAATTTTTAATAAAAGGAGATATATAAAAAAATATATATATATATTGATTGATGTAACTCAAATAAAATAAAAAGATAATCTTGAGGGATGACAAATAAGTCCTTATCACAAAATTTAGTATTATCCTTGGCAATTTGAAGCTAATATTTATGATGTTGGCTTTGGCATTATCCCAAAACACTTCCATAAATAACAACTTTCAAATGGGGTCTCTTATTATCCCTACAAAAATATTAAAAATTCTAAAAATTTTATTAAATGTATCATATGGGTGTGAGATCTACACGAGACTCACTGTGTGTGGGTTCCACAGATATTTAGTAGAACTTTTGATAGAATTTTTGGGGTCTCTAATATTATTCTTATCCCTAATATCTCATGTGATGTTCGCTCTGACATTATCCCAAGTCTTAAGTCTCATTAAATAGGGTTGGCTGCATGAATCTTTCTTACTCGATACAAAGTTATTTCGTTAGTCAAATTAAGAAGATTCATCTTTATTCACTACACTAGTTTACATCAATTTAGGTCTACCCCTTCCCCTAATACTATCATATACTGTCACTGTATCGCATATCTTCACTACTGCCTATGTTGGTATCCATTGTATATGACCAAACCATCTCAATCTATTTTCTCTCAACTTATCTTCTATCTGTATTACTCCTACTCATTCTCGAATATACTCATACATAACTTTTTCTAATCTTGCCACATATCCATCTCATCAACCTCATATCAACAATACTCATCTTATCTACATGTTATTTTTTAGTTGCCCAACATTTCGTCTCATACAATATCGCTGGTCTAATAGGCATTCTAGAGAACTTCCCTTAATTTAATGGATACTCGTTTATCGCACAATACTCTAAACGCACACCTCCACTTAAGTTACCACGCCTTAATTATGTGAACCACATTCGCTCTAATCTCTACAGTTATTGTGATAATCGATCCTAAATAAAAAAAATGTTCACTCATAAATATATTTTAATTAATAATTCAAGTATTCTTATTATTATAAGGGAGAATAGTTAGAAAATTTATTTTATTTTTTTGTTAATTCGGTTATATTGCAAATTTTGATAAGAGAGCCATTTTTAATTTTTAAAACTATATTAGATAATTGTATGCCTCCGTTTGGGAAGTGTTTTGACTTTTTGGCTATTTTAGCTTGGGCTAAAAAACTTAGTTTGGAAAGGACTTTTTGACTTTTTAGCTTTTTTGACTTTTTTTTGTGAGAGAAGAGTGCAATGATTATGGGTTAGATGTGATGTTTTGTTTGTTGTGGCTAAAATAATCTTTTTTGTCTTTTATGACTAAAATAGCCCCAAACCTCCTTGCCAAACGAAGCCAAGCAAACTTTAAGAAGTGTATTTAAGAAGTGTATTTATAATATAGCCAAATTTATTTAACGTATGACTTTACATTAGAAATTTGAATTATTGATCTAAAAATCTGAGACAATTAATGAACAATTTCCTTGTTCAAATTGTTCATAGACTTCCTGTTTTATAACTATTCCAATAAATTTAGGAAAATAATAATTAAAAAAAATACAAATGAATCAATTCAAGTGAAACCATTTGATATATGTTTAACAACTTACATTTTGCAATTGATTTTGTCGTTGTATTTATATTCTTAAATTTATTGATCTTATTTTAGGTAACAATTCAATTCTTGCAGAAGCATTTTGAATGAAAATGTTAAAATTATGTGTTCAAGTATGTTATATGATTAAAAGTAATAAAAATAAAATTTAATTTTGGATGTTTAGGATAATTTAATAAAATGATAAATAAGAGTAAGAACTATTTAAGTGTGAATAATTGTGTACGTAGACAGCATAAAAAAAAATTGAAACGGGCCTCACTCACCCAATCACAACATGCTTAACTGCTATTGCTTTTTTAAAATAATCATTTTGTGTTTTTATATATACATATTAGGTATATGAACTTCACTATTACAAAATACATTTAACATATTTTAATTACACCATTGAAAACTAACAAACACTTAACACATAAAATCGAATTTTATTGCATCACTTTATATTATATAATTCAGTTTAACACAATCTTACAAGGCTCATTTGTGCTGCGACAACCGGCGCAGTTAATTAATACTTTAGCATCTAAACCCTTTAACAAACTATTTAATAACTCCATAGGAGCAAATTCTATTCCCATTAACCTCTCAATATCTAACTTAAATAATACTATTTAGCATCTCCAATGCATATTCCTTTAGGCCACTTTACAGTTCACACCACTCATTTTGTGTGTTGCCGAATGGTTGTACTTTGTTGTGGCAAGTGCAATTGTTACCCTCATCAATAGTTGCAAAAATTCAGATCAAGTGCCACTCATTTTCTTTCTTTCTTTCTTCTTGACCAAATATTTTATTTTTTTTAAAAAAATATGTATGTCATGGTAAAATGAGCTTTTAAGATTAGTGGATTCGGATACTTTCCATTTCATCCAATAATTTAATGATTTATTTTAAAAAATTACAATCCCACACTTCAAAATCAATACTTTAAGCCAATAGTTCACTCAGAGTGAAAATATTTGTAATATAGTAAATTTGATAAATACTTTTCAATTATGATATATATTATAAACTTAGGAAAAGTCTACAATGTGTACATTCTAAAAGGGCATATGATATGCACTTATTGTGTGGTCCATATTGTGCCACGTCATAAAAAGTAACCTGCTAAACAGGTCATTTAACAGGTTACATGAAAGAATCATAACTTTTTTTAAACATCATAACAATTACTACAATGAATCATAACAATGTCACAATATACAATGCGGTGTCATAACAAAGACACTATCATTCATAACAATATGACAACGACTCATAATAAATATAGTTGTTTTCAACAAATTATCGTAACATTTGAATCGTAACATTTTTTATTATGATTCGCCATAACAAATCATAACTTTTAATAGTACAAATCATAACTTTTACTAATAAATCATAACCATAACACAATGACTGTAACTTTTTTTTCCACAATCATAACGACATTAACAAAATATCATAACTCTTACTAATAAATCATAACATAGCACGTTGATTGTAATTTTGTCCCAAAAATCATAACAACATTAACAAAACATCATAACTTTTAAAATTTCAAACACAATTAATTGTGTAATCAATTGGTATAGCATATTAGAGTGAATGGAAAATCATAATTGATTGCAAAATCGATCGGATTCAAAGACCACAATTGATTATACAATCGATTAGTAGCTAGAGTTTTGAACAATCACAACTGATTGTACAATCCATTAGAACATAAGGGAGATTCAAATATCACAATTGATTGTAGGGATCCTTGATATAATAAACATAATTGATTCAATAATCAATTAGTTTTCATAAGCCACACTAAACCAATTAATTCCCAACTTATTCATAGTTCCCAATCAATTAGTAAAAACCTAATCATTACTATCAATTTAGTCAATATTCGAATAGTAATTGATCGGTTGATCGGTCTCCATTTTTATGTAATTTTGTTGTTGTGTTGCCATTACCTCAAACATTATCACTAACAAAAACGCATGAAACTCCAACTACATTTCTCGCTCTACGATGCTCTCTCTCTCTCTCTACCTAAAATGTTGTTGCTATGACTATCTTATCGACTCTCACTCTTTCTTTCCTTGTCATTATTAGTGAATTAGACAACAATGTTATTGTTACCAACTTCAATTAATCATGCCCTTTGATCCACTAAAACACAACCATCATCATCGACTTAAACCACTATAATAGCATTGTTGCCGCTACTAGTGTCATGTTATTGTTATGTACAAATGATGACATCGGCTATAAATCACTTTGACACATTTATAACTCTAGCACATACCAATATTAGTCCTTGCCTATTATTTTGTAGTCGGTCACTACCTTTCTACCGTCAGTCCTTTTTAAAAATAATAAATTGTATTTTCATTCTTAGATATATATATATATATATATTGTTTGTCATTGTACCCACCTTAGTCCCTATATTATTTGTCTTTTCTTATTTTTGGTCCCATTTGCTAACTTTTGAGGGTAACTGTAGAATTTAAAAATTAACTTTCCTACTTTGATCACTTAGAAAACTTTGTTTTCCCACTTCAAAATAGATAGGTCATGGCAAGCGGTAAATAGAAGTGTTCTACGATGGAGGATTGCATGTTGACGTGGTCTATAGCAGAGGTTTTCACACAAATGAATGTGAACTTGACCCATGCTGCATTTTCCGTCACAAAAGTATAACATTTGTTACAATTTGGACCAAAGTGAAAGAAATATAATAGTTTAGACCAATGTGAGAAAGTATTCATAGCTAAGCGGGGTGAAGGTGTAAGTTACCATTTTACAAAATGTAAATCATGCCCTAA